TTTTTGCAATAACTTTTTTGTTTATTAACCGATTTTAATTTAACCAGTCTCATTTTGTAGATAATTTTACTCCCTATAAGCTGTCTGAGAGTCACTTTTCGCTAAAATTGATGGTTTTCCCTGCAAAGTGAAAAAACTGTTTTCCTCACTTATTTGTCTAAATAGAAAAGTTAGTTAAAAAAAAGTTTTTGACTCACGAGACGAGAGATGTCTTGTATTATGTTCCTTTAGACAATTTTACAATAATCTAGCGGATAGGACTTTTTTCGAGTTTCTCTTTTATTTTCGCTAATTTTCCTGGTGTAGAAGTATTATACTCACGCACACGAAACACGTTATTACTTATTGTAAAGATGCGGTAAGACGACTACAAATGTTTGTTCGAATTTTTTTGTAAGTAAATTTTACTGAAGAGCGTTTGTTACATATTTATAGCTGGAAATAGTGAATTTGCTATAAGTATATTTAAAACAAACATTTTACGTAAGTTTGTAGATTCTAGAGATATAATAATAATAATAATATTATTCAAAGTATTTCTTGGTATTTTGAAAGCTTCTGGGTATACGATGTCTATTCAGAAAATAATCGAACGTGCTTTCTTGGGGCGTGAGGATCCTTTAAGAAATTATCAAAAACATACCTAGTCGATTCCTTAGAACTCTTAGATGTCTAATGAACACATTTACAGGAACATGCACACAAAAGATTGTTACAACGAATTATAAGGAACCCGCTTTGTGTTCTACTTATCTCACTGATAACGAGACATAATCAGTTACCTACGGCGAGGCTCACAGACACACAGTTCAGTTACGACTTGCCACTCAGCCAAAAAACGTTACGGGGATGAAAACCAACCTATTGCTAGCCCTTGCCGGCTTCGCCGTCTATTTCGGCTATAAGGTCCACCAGCTGCTGCAACCGCCGCCCCTGCCCCACCTGGAGGACACTTGGTGGGGACCTGGCACCCCTAAGCCGAAACCGAACTGGACTTTGGAGCTGGAGCCGTTCAACATCACCGTATCGGAGAGAGTGAGTTGATAGAGATGTTGCCATCTCGTTGCATTGTAATTTTTTTATTTAGCACTAAGTCGTAACTTGTGGTATTGCGTTTGGAAGGATCGGCAACGGATTGATCCAAAAACTGACGTTATATTCAGTTTTTTAACGTACGTTTCTGTGAGGAATAATTAGAAGGAAAATATTGGTAAATTTTTGGAAAAATGTCTTAAAATATGCACTAGTTTCATGAGAAATGCTTCTAATGTGTCTGCTAATTTAATTATCTCGGGTAGTGATAATACTGTAGGAAACTACAAATGGTAAAAGAACACGTCGGGAATATATCGAAGATAGTAATGGATTTGCTTAAGTCACGACATTGTTTGTAGTATAATAATCTCTAATATATCAATCATCTGGTGACACCAGACTTAAATATCGCAAATCCAAAAGTCAAGCTGGATTTATTTAATAACATTTCGAATTTTCTGTAAAGGTATTACATATAAATACGTCTTTCCGTTCTATGATAAAAGAAAAAACGATTTTTTTACATTAATTTCCATTTATCTTTTAGGAACGTAAATATGGTTCTAAACAAATGATATGTCTAATTGTTTTTAACAATGTTACCCATTAAAAATAATTAACTTAACAAATAATACGTATTTTTAACCATATTAAAATTTTCAAATTCGGTTAAAAAATCACCGAGGGCGGTGTCCACGCGCGTGCGCGGGCCTTGCGCTCCTTCTCCCGCTTATAGACCGTTCATTAACATTAACTTTACTGTTGCTAGCGCGTTTATTACATGAACTATCAATGTAAAACTTTGAAAATAAAAGTTTAACTCTTTCTAAAATTGTCAATATAGTTGGAGCAACAATTTCATGGTCAATTGAATCGGCGGGCGTGTGGCACACATGTTGATCTTTGGAATGACCGCCTTTTCCATAAATTTCATCAACATTCAAGTTTCAGGTTTTATGACCTAATTCGAATGGAGTACCTTACACGAATTTAACAACGAAGACACACAAACACCGATTCTACACTAAACACTGAAAACAAATTCCTTTATAAGATCATAAAAGTATATCCTTATCTTCCAGGACCTCAAGGAATTAAAATGGCGCCTACAGTACCACAGAAACATCACGCCACCCCTGGAGGGAGTCCAGCACGAGTACGGCTTCAACACCAACCTCCTGAAGGAGGTCGTCCAGTTCTGGAGGACGGAGTACAATTGGACTGAGCGAGAGCTGTACTTCAACAAGAACCCCCAGTACCTTCTGAAAGTGCAAGGGCTCGACATCCACGTGGTGCACGTCAACGGGGGGCAGTACAAGGGCTACAAGAAGCTGCCGCTGTTGCTGCTGCACGGATGGCCGGGGTCTGTGAGGGAGTTTTACGATATTATACCCAAACTGGCCGAGCCGCAGAAGGGGAGAAAGTACATGTTCGAGATCATCGCCCCACATTTGCCAGGTTGATTTTTTTTATCAAATAGCAACAGAGTTCGGTGTTAAAGAACGTTTCATTTTATTAAAATAATTGTAGGTTTTGGGTTCTCCCAAGGAGCAGTCCGTCCTGGTCTCGGCGCCGCCCAAATGGCCGTCCTCTTCAAGAACCTGATGCACGACATCGGCTTCAAGGAGTTCTACGTCCAGGGAGGTGATTTCGGGGCCATTATTCTCCAGCACATGGCTGTCCTCTTTCCCGAGTCGGTGCTGGGTTTCCACAGCAACATGTGTACGATATATACACCCAAATCGTACCTCAGGACCTTGCTGGGCACCGTGTTCCCCTCCTGGTATGTCAAGCCGGAGCACTACGACAGGGTGTACCCTTTAAGCGAACAGTTTTATTTAAAACTTAGGGAAACTGGTTATTTGCATCTGCAGTCTACCAAACCTGACACACTAGGTGAGTCTGTATTTTTTATTTAGCTCCGAATTCTTTGAAACTGCATGGATTTGCGTGAAAATTTAGAAAAAGACTCATCTTAGGCTCAAGTTCAAAAGTGACATAAGCCCGATTGACGCTTTACGTTTTTTTGGGGTAAAAAATACCCCTAAGTGAAAAAAATTGAAACAAGTAATCATATTTCGCTTTGTATAGGTCGTACAACACTTTATAAAAAACAATTTTCTTTGTTTATTTATAAGCTACAGTTTTGTTCATTACACTTTTTTAATAAAATGCGTAGTTTTTTAATTATTCGCGAAAAATAGTTTGAATTGTCTTTTTCACTCAAAATTCCAAGTTTTTAATCGTGAATAACTAAAAAACTATTGATTTCTCGAAAAAATTCTTCGAATATTTTTTGCTCACAATTTGATTCTCTATCGATTTCCAGCGTTAATTCTGAAAAAAAATTTCCAACCCCGAGAAGGGGTGTCAACCCCCAACAGGGTGGAAGCGTCAATCGGCGCTATGTGACTAATGTTCATTGACCTTTTCTCTAACTATCTGCCAAATTTCAAGTCAATCGGTTCGTTTCAAAGAATTGGGAGGCGAAAAGCTTCAATGACTGTACTATAAATACTGTAGAAATTTTATCACAATAATTATTTTTATTCAACAAAATGTAACTGTTACTTAAAAAGTCGTTCTTTAAAAAACATAACTCAATTTGAAAATAAGCGGAAATCTTGGCAAACTATATCGACTTTGAATATTAGGCGACCAAAGTTACAGTATTGGTAATGATTAAAACAAAGTTCCCTAGATCTAGTGATGTTTATGACAAGTGAAGCTCTCGTTACAGTATTGATAATGAATAAAACAAAATTCCCTGGACCTAGTGATGTTTAGGACAAGTGAAGCTCTCGTTACAGTATTAGTAATGATTAAAACAAAATTCCTTAGATCTAGTGATGTTTATGACAAGTGGAGCTCTCGTTAGAGTATTGGTAATGATTAAAACAAAATTCCCTAGATCCAGTGATGTTTATAACAAGTGGAGCTCTCATTACAGTATTGGTAATGATTAAAACAAAATTCCCTAAATCTAGTAATTTTTATGACAAGTGGAACTCTCGGACCATTTTTTTTTCGAACTACTAATACCAAGGGGCCTGTTTCGAAAGGTCTGAGGTCTAAAATTTGCGAAAAAATTTAATAAAAGTAATGTAACGTGTTATGAAATATATATTCTAGGTGTCGCCTTGAACGACTCTCCTATCGGTATGGCAGCTTACATCCTCGAAAAATTCATAACAGGAACCAACAGAACTTGGTTGTCTCAAGATGATGGAGGCCGCCTAAAAGATACATACACCTATACGGCCCTTATCGATAACATCATGTTCTACTGGGCAACGAGTTCGGCGACCACTTCCTTCAGGTTGTACGCCGAAACCTTCAACAAGAAGCACATGGGGTTGGGCATCTTGAGGTGAGAAAACGGAAACTCAATTTATGCGATTTATGCACAGAATTTTTTGAAGGAGTTTCTTTTTCTTCATAATTTCAAAAACTACCTTTCAAAAAGCTTATCCTTCGCAGGCATCCAGTGGAGGTACCAACGGCATGCGCCAGGTTCTCAAACGACTTTTACGCAGCAGACGGACTCTTGCCAGAGATCTACCCCCACCTCCTGCAGCTCACGGACCACGAAGGGGGTCATTTCGCGGCCATGCAGAAGCCCGACGTTTTCGCGAACGACATCCACGACGCCATGGAGAAGTTCGTGAAGTTCAACGAAGAATTCCGGAAGAAGGAGGAAGACGGAGAGTCTCCCAAGAAATAGCCTCGTAAATCGAAGTAATTTTAAGATTTTGTTACAGAAGTTGTATAATAAATGTTTGTAAAACGAGTTTAACTTTTTCATTGATCACTATATGCTGGTACTGAGAGATAATATACGTCTTTAACAATACTTCGATATTGAAAATCCAAACATGCAAAAAATATTTAATCTCATATACAAGATTCCCAATTGTTGATATTATAGAAACTACTATATGGACTAAAACTGATAAAGGGACAATTTATACGACTTTTCTACAAAACACGAAACGACTGATAAGAAAAAATGGTTTTTCAATATCAGTAATAGGAATGATAAAAAAATCACAGACAGATGCTCTCCCCCAATGTTTATTGAAATTATTAGCGCCAGTCGAAAATTTAAAAAAAGGTTTTTATTATACCTGCAAATATTAAAATATACACCGTTGTTATGTGTTACTTTTAGTCTTATAGAAGTGATAGATCAAGGATATTAAGTGCAACAAAACAGTATATACATAAAAAATTTTTGTGTTTATTGTAGAATACGCAAATAAAATCTTATTGAATAATTATTATCTTTAATTTTTTTATCTAAAAATGTTAATATTTGCATGATTTTTAAAAATATTTAACAAATTAGCAGAAAATTGCTTTCCTTATATGGTTAATCAAAATTATTTCGAATTAAACATTAAAGTTTGACATACATCTATTAATTTGCAGTAATTGCCTTACAATGACTTTTATGAGCTACAATGAAAATGCGTAAGCAACAAACAAATTTATCAAAAACAAGCATTTTAACAACTATTACACACAATCTAAGGACAATTTACTTTACATAAGCCTTATTCAGTTTAGATCTACAGAACAGTGACAGTACAAAATCAGCAGACTTTAGACATGGCTTCCAAGACTACACAGGGAGGCTTATCTGTGGCAGTGATTGTTGTGTTATATTCCTACATATATTACTTACTGATGAAAACACCGGAAACGCCGAAATTAGAGAAAACCTGGTGGGGAGAGGGAGAGGAAGGAGAAGATGATGTCGGTATCTACCCCTTCAAAATTGATGTCACTAACGAGGTAAGTTTAATGCTGAAAGCGGTATTTTCTCATTAAAAAATAGTTTGTAAAGACTATGCATTACATAAAATGTTACGTTTTAGGAGTTGCAAGACCTTGAACTTAGGCTGAACATTTCAAGACCACCAACGCCACCTCTAGAAACCACCCAGCACGAATATGGCCTTAACCCCAAAGTCCTCTACGAATATCTACGTATCCTAAAGACCGAATACAACTTCACCGAAAGACAAGACTTCCTGAACCAGTTCCCCCAGTTCACCACTCAGATACAAGGCTTGACTATCCATTTTCTCCACATTGTACCCGACAATCCCGAAAAACTGCCAGTTTTTCCGATATTACTCCTGCACGGTTGGCCTAGCTCAGTAGTGGAGTTCTACAAAATGGTACCAACTTTAACAGCGCCAACCAATCAAAGCTTCCTTTTAGAACTTGTTATACCATCTCTACCAGGTTTTGGATATTCTTCAGCTCCTAGAAAGCCAAACTGTCAAAGTCCGCACATAGCCCAGGTGTTCCTGTCGCTGATGAGGCGTCTGAATCACGAAAAGTTCTACGTCCATGGCAGCGACTGGGGTGGGGTCGTAGGCGCTGATCTCGCGACGTTGTTTCCAAAGGCAGTGTTGGGGTTCCACTCGAACTTTTGCTTTTCCCTTCGATATATTTCTGGGGTAAAGGTTCTCCTGGGGAGTTTGTACCCTCCGCTCATGGTAAGGGAAGAATTTGAGGATAAGCTCTACCCTCTTTTGCATCTCGTCAGGTTCTATTTAGCTGAAAGCGGATATCTGCATATCCAAGGGACCAAGCCGGATACCATAGGTAAGTTCTGGAGGTTCAGAATTTCGGAAAAAATGGTCGTTGAATAAAAAACAGAGTTTCTCTGAGAAAAATTTGATAAAAAAATACAAATTTGTGATTATATATCTTTATTCACTTCTCTTTAAATGTTATAACCCCATTTTTAGGAGCATGTTTGAATGACTCTCCCGAAGGCCTCTTGAGTTTCGTGCTGGAAAAGTTATCAGTCGCCGCAAACAAAGACAATATACACCTCGCTAATGCCGGTTTGGATAAATATAACACGACAACTCTCCTAGATACAATCCTGTTTTACTATTGGTTCCCGAGAACCGCCACCACGTCGGCCCGATTTTATGCTGAGAATCTAAGCGTCAAGGTTATCGAGCTAGGGGTACATAAGTAAGTAAGCCGTGTATAAGTTACTATGATAAGAAAATGAAAGAAAAATTGAAGTGGTTGTTATGTTTATGTTTCAGTTTACCCGTTAACAGAGAGGTCCTGTGCGGCTGTGCCTTTTTCCAGCACGAGTTTGTCTACCTCCCAGAGAATATACTGAGGGACAAATTCACCAATCTAGTGCACTACACCACGTACAAATCAGGGGGGCACTTCGTGGCTTTGGAAGAAGGCGATTTGTTGGTCAAAGACATCATCTCGTTTGTTTCAAAGACTTTAAATTAGATATCGACAAAGCCTAATAAATTTGATAACCATGTAGTTAATTTATTATACAACCAATCATATTAATAAAAAAACAACCAGTATCTGTATTGATTAGGGTGGCCCAAAAAAAAACGAATATTACTTTTTCGTGTCTCTTGTGAAAATATGTTAGTTTATCATGTTTAAGAGCCCCCTCAAAAAATCAGCTCTAAAAAAAAAATTTTTTAGAGGTCGCTCAAGATTTCCAAAATCGTCAAAAATTGATTTTTTTTTATTTTTTTTCTCGTTATTTTATCATTTTCTAGGTTGAAAAAATCTCGATTCTGAAAATCTCAAATCGATATTTTAATTTCTAAAGGTCACTCATAATTATTTCAACTTTCAAAGTAGTGTATCTATGTTTTCCAGCGACCTAATATTTTTTTTATTGAATTTGATGAACAAAAGAATAGAAATAAATCACGAGACTTAAATTTAAAAAAATTAAATTATTAAATTATAAATACTTGATACTCACAGTGGGGTAGTAAATTTTGCCTCAAGAAATTTAGAAGAAGTAAAGAAATGATAAAATAAGTAGAAAAAAAATTGAAAAAATTATATTTTTGATTTTGGAAATTTTTAAAAATCTTGAGCGACCTCCAAAAAAAATTTTTTTGAGCTGATTTTTTGAAGGGGTTCTTAAAACGTGATAAACTAACACATTTTCACAAGAGACACGAAAAAAATAATCGTTTTTTTGGGCCACCCTAGTATTGATATTGCACAGTAGTAAATAATATATTTTTTAACGTGTGTTGAATTTATTAAAACCTTTTAAAGTGAATTTTGAAGAAAACTGAGTGATTATTTACAATCCATTTTTAACAACTTAACAACCTTTTAGATAAACATGTTCAATCACAAAAATAATTCACTGGAGTTTTAAAAAAAATATAAAATACATTCCAGAAGATAATGACAAATTTTTACATATATTTAAAAGCAAGAAACTGCTCCGAAAAAAATAAGAAAAAAGTTACTATTTTGTAGATATGGAACCCACTATTCACAGGGTCTGAATAAAGAGTTGCCTAATTCACAGGCTAAAAGTCAATGGAAAATACATGTTTAATCGTTCTAACAACGTTATGAATTTCTCTTTCATTTAGATTAGACTATTTCATAGCAGTAAACAGATTTGGATCTGTTTTACCTTTAAACTCAAGCTTATGTGGTCAAGACCACCATTTTGCTTTTGTCAACTAACCGGATTTTTCCTCAAGTATTTAAAACATTGCCAAGTTCTAATGGATCACCCTGTAAAAGTTCTAAATCAAGGACTATAAAGTGCCGATTGTATTTATTGTTGTTTCAAAATAAAGAAAATAACAGTAGTAGGAAAAGTTAATTTCAACTCATTAGTTTTAATTTTTTATATTCTAAAAGCCTGATTTTTTAACAGTATCGGAAGAATTTTTAAAGTTGGATATTTTATTTGTGCAGTTAATGAAAATGATTCCTACGTTTATTTTTATTATACAGGGTATTCTACAAGCCCCATGACAGATGGCAGGTGGGTTAATTTCAATCATTTTTTCTTATATGAACAATACGTTCGATTCCAATATATTATAACAATAATTATTATTTATATTAAAGTTTAAGCATTAGTTAATCTTTATTAATCAAATATGATTTGATTCATTTGACACTAACCACTAAAGTGCTTTTTTTTATGGGAACAACAAGTTATTTACACAAATCGATTTTTTCGAGCGCTTTCTTTGAGTTAACATAGGGTGATTGATTTTGGGTAGTTCTTAAAATTCCTTAGATTATCCCCTGAATAATTTAGTGCCTGTACATGTTTTGAATTATTGTAAAACAATCTTTTTGATTTCTTTGATAACGTAGGACATAAAATTGTTCAAAATATGTGGTAACAGCACGATGGATGGTGCACCACCACAAAGAGTAACAAGTAACTGCTTGGTTAAACGATCGTTTCCCGAATAAATGGATAGGTCAACTAGGTCCAATAGCATAGCCACCACGTTCCCCAGATCAAAATCCTTTGGATTTTTATTTATGGGGACATATGAAGAGGCTTGTCTACCATGTTGAAATCACTAAGTATGTCAGTAGTTACTTGAAATAATTCAGGATGCAGTTAACCAGATAAGAAATGATCCAAATCTCATTCGTCAAGCTACCATCTGTCAAAGTTTGTCACAGAGCTTGTCGAACACCCTGTATACTCATTTCTATATTGGCTGTTATGGTAACAAAACATTTATTCAAACCGCTTTATTCCAAGCAAATAAAAAACGGTAAAATCACTTTTTAATCGAACCTCACGTCTCATGTAAACATGTAATAACTCAAAAAGAACATGCATGTAGATACCAGATATAATTTTATTTACGTTTAACTTTGAACTTGCCATCAGTAGAAAATCAGGGGACTGTGGAAATGGCTCTCAATGCTAAGCTGGGAAGTCTATCCACGACAGTGATTGTTCTTTTCGCTTCTTACTTATATTACTTACTGGCTAAAGCTCCGGAAGCGCCAAAATTAGAAGAAGCTTGGTGGGATGAAGGAGATGAAGGAAAAGATGATATCAGCATTCGCCCCTTCAAAATCAATGTCACCACGCGGGTAAGTACAGTTTTTAAGTTGCAGTTTAATAAAAATCCAACTCGTTTCTGTAAAATGTAAGTTTTTAGGAGTTGCAAGACCTTGAACTGAGATTGAACATCTCAAGACCACCAACGCCATCCCTAGAAACAACCCATCACGAATACGGTCTTAACCCCAAAGTCCTCTACAAATATCTACACATCTTGAAGACCGAATACAACTTCACCGAAAGACAAGACTTCCTGAACCAGTTCCCCCAGTTCACAACTCAAATACAAGGCTTGACTATCCATTTTCTCCACATTGTACCCGACAATCCCGAAAAACTGCCAGTTTTTCCGATATTACTCCTGCACGGTTGGCCTAGTTCCGTGATTCACTTCACCAGCATGATACCCTCTCTGACAAAGCAAACCAATCACAGCTTCCTACTGGAGCTGGTGATACCCTCTCTTCCGGGTTTTGGATATTCCTCCGCCCCCAGAAAGCCTAACTTCCAAGCTCACAACATAGCCCACGTGTTCTTGACGCTGATGAGGCGCCTCAACCACGAAAGGTTCTACGTCCATGGCAACGACTGGGGTGGAATTGTTGGCGCCCACCTCACAACACTGTTTCCCGAAGCTGTACTGGGGTTCCACTCGAACTTTTGCTTTTCCCTGCGGTACATTTCTTTAGTTAAGATTATCCTGGGAAGTTTGTACCCTCCACTGATAGTAGCCAAAGAATCTGAGAATAAGCTCTACCCTCTGTTTGATTATATCAGGTTCTGTCTCACGGAGAACGGTTATTATCATGTTCAAGGAACCAAGCCTGATAGCATAGGTAAGTTGAATGAACTTGGGGCGAGCTGTTGTGTCCATACACTAGTAAAATATCTTACCGTTCACTGTTCTGTGGTCTCGCTTTAAATTCTCTCAATTTTCACCCTTTTAGGCCTCGCCTTAGACAACTCTCTCGAGGGTCTCTTAAGTTATGTACTGGAAAAATTCTCAGTAGCCGCTAACAAAGACAACATCCACCTACCTGACGCAGGTTTGGATAAATACAACACGACAACCCTCTTGGACATAATCCTATTTTACTATTGGTTTCCGAAAACCTCCACCACGTCGTCCAGACTTTATGCTGAGAATATAAACGTCAAGGTGTTCGAGATAGGAGTACATAAGTAAATACGTCACTCTTCACATTAGGTTGAATGAAATTGGTGATTACCGTGTCTTTGTTTTAGCTTGCCGATCGACAAAAGTGTGCCTTGTGGGTGTGCCTTTTTTGAACACGAGTTTATGTACCAACCAGAGTCTATATTAAGAGACAAATTCACCAATTTGATGCACTACAACACCTACAAGTCAGTGGGTCATTTTGCGGCATTGGAAGGAAGCGATTTGTTAGTCAAAGACATCATCTCGTTTGTTTCAAAAACTTTAAATTAAAAATGTTTCTGTGGACGATCTGAGCTGTAAGTTTGGTACTCAAATAATTTATTTCACCTACAATAAAAGTTGATACAGTAACTGGCGAATAGATTTTTTCACTGTTTCACAAAGAGATGATGTAAAGCATATAGAATAATAAAAATCATGTTTCTGATCAACTATTTTCTTGCTTTGTTGTGTTTTTTTTATAACCTACAATTAGTACCATGTCCATGATTAGAATAATTAGTAATCACGGCACAGGACATGTTTAGTTCCGTGTTTGCAGTATGTAATAAGTATAATTTTTGAGTAGAACAAGACATACGTTTATAAATAAAACTATAAAATGGCAGTCTTGTCAGAAACCATGAAACATATTTCCGATTCTTTTAAAATTCCCTGGGGTGGAATCTTTAGGGACGCCCCTGTCTTCATCTAACAGAGAAGAGGCATCAATGATGCCGCGTAATACAAGGTGTTGCCCGACAAGTTCCCGGTTCTGTTCCAACAGACCTTTTGTCTGCGTACATAAATTCATTGTCTGCATATTTTTTATGGTACCGTCGTCTGGTTCCCGTTTTGGTGAACAAAAAGTCTGCTTCAACCGCACCACACGCTACTAACTACGAAAAGGAAGCCTGGCTGTTTGTCTAAAAGCTAAAAAACGAACTCTAATAATAATCCGAGAAGTGAAAATTATTGTAATAACGTATTCAGTACTGGAGCTGTTTGAAATCGGTATTTAATTTGTTGTAAAGAGGAGTATTCATAAGACGAATTGAAATATGCTTATAAATTTAGGAGCACCAACAATGGAATTACAAAGATTTCGAAATTTGACACTGACAAATTCATAATATCATGCAAATAGAACTCCCTCGAAGAATCCAGAATCCTGACCATATCCTGGCACATTCACTCGCGAAACGCGAAATGGGTGAGTCTACAATTGATTTCTCAGGAGATTCAAATAACCCGAGATGTACATTTGATATCCCGGTGGTCTCAAACCTAGGTCTCCTCTTCCAAGAAAGCAATTAGGTCCTTAACACTCGAGAAATACAACGATAACGTAAATTATCGAATATTTCTAGAGATACTCGTTCCTGGCTCAACTCACCAATCAACGGATATCAATGAATTTAGTCAATGAGTTGATCACGGCGATCAACATAACGCCGATTAGTCAATTATAGTCACTATCACTAACAGTCACCACTAAACCATTGTGGATGTCCTATTGAGCAGGATTTAAGGAACACTGAAACAAAAATATTATATTAAACTTTTAAAAACACCAACTATTTTCTTTAGCATCTTGCAGCAGTGTACTCAAGAGTATATGTACTTCTATAAAAAAATTGCAATATAGTCTATGTTTTTTTTAAATTAACTCAGAAAATTAAGTATATCTTTTACAGATTACTTTTAACCGTACCTGTACAAGTTTATTATCAAAGACCGAAACTGATTTACGGTTATACTCGTCAACTATCAGAAGAAACGACGATTTATGTTAAGAAAACGCCGCGGGCAAAAAACTAATTGTTGCTGCATGCTGCAAGTTTCAAAAAATGTTTAGGTTTCGAAATTTAATTATATCGGTAGGTCGCTGATTGCCTCCAAAACCCCTAGCAAAAATCCTAGCTACGCCCAGGCCAAGTCAAGATAGTCAGCAAGGAAAAACAAGATAAATACATTTTGTACGGAATTGACAACGGAAAGCAGGAAAAACATCACTCACAACAATGTTGTTTGCTATGAATATTCTTAAATATGTTTGTTTTCTCCAGATGCCATTTTTAATCCATTTGCTGCCCCTAGAAGTGAATTTGCGACACCTTATTTCAGAGGACAACTGACAAAGTAGCTACATAGGCCAGGAAATATAGAATTGGACGCGACTTTTTGTTTCCGCAAGCTGAATTTATCACTATAGATGCTAAATATTATGTACAATAACATATTAGTTTCCACAGTCATAAAAATGGGGGAAGATTGTTTACAGCGTGGTTAATTGTATAATTTTTACGTAAATTCACGTTTCTCGCTTATAACTTTTTTCCGTTCATTTCCACGAGAGAACAGTAAAGTACTTTTGTTTCGTCTTCAGAATACCTACAAAAATAGCCCTCGAGCGTCAAAAAATATTGATTAGATCAAAAGTTATAAACAGAAGAAGTTTATTTATGACTTTTGAAATAAACATTTATAAACTGCTTTATTATTACCAGAACGTTTTGGCATCGCATCCTCTCATTCCTTATCACTGTCTAATAACTCACACGAATTCTGGAATCGGTAAGTTGAATAGTTTCCAAGTTATGGCCTTTTAAGCAAATTAACTAATTGTTAGTCTGGACGATCCCGAGCATCTTCCACAATCGCACTGATTTTTTTCATGGTAGATTTCATAATAATACATTGAAATCTATGTATTTTTTTTAATTTCAAATTTGCAACCTGTAATTTTTTTTATTTTTTAGCTCCATTGTTTTTCAACGAATCTTGACGATTTTTTTTTTAACTTAAAGCTTTTTTCATAAGCTTTCCGAATATGTAATAATATATAACTATATCACGCTCGTGCGTCGTATATTTCATTTTACAGTTAAGGCTAAAAAATAAAAAAAATTTCCAGGTTGCATGAAATTAAAGAACTATTATTATGAAGTTTACCATGAAAAAAATCAGTGCGATTGTGGAAGATCCTCGGGATTGTCCAGACTAATAATTAGTTAATTTGCTTAAAAGGCCATAACTTGTAAACTATTTAATTTACCGATTCCAGATTTCGTGTGGGTTATTAGACAGTGATAAGGAATGGGACGATGCGATGCCAAAACGTTCTGGTAATAATAACGCAGTTTATAAATGTTTAATTCAAAAGTCATAAATAAACTTCTTTTTATAACTTTTGATCGAACCAATATTTTTTAACGCTCGAGGGCTAGTTTTCTAGTTTTTTTTGAAAACGAAAAAAAAGTACTTTACTGTTTTCTCGTGGAAATGAACGGAAAAAAATTATAAGCGAAAAACGTGAATTTACGTAAAAATTATACAAATAACCACTCTATAAACAATCTTCCCCCCATTTTTATGACTGTGGAAACTAATGTACATAATATTTAGCATCTATAGTGATAAATTCAGCTTGCCGAAACAAAAAGTCGCGAAATGAAATTTCTCAGCTCATTTTCCTGGCTTATACAGGGGAAATTCGGAGTATAACATATGACGATTATATTAAATAAATATATTTTAATGAAATATTTTTTTTTTTGAAAATTAGATTCGACCTTACAAAACAAACTTCAGATTCGTGTTCAACGCCCTCGAAAACTGCGGTGCTAAGAATTTTGTGGGGTTCCGATTTTATCTCGAGTGAAATTTCGTCTCCCCAGTTGCGCGTCCCTGACCGGCGACATTTCCATTCACCAATTTGATGGATGACGCAACGTACCGCCCCTTATTCACCCCAACAATCTCGTGGAATCCCAAGGGAAAGCGCCAGACGCGAGACCAACAACGGCCGAAGTGTTCTCCTTCTCTCCTCCGCCTGCTGTGTGCATTGTCGTTGCATTAGTGCGATCGCGACGCGGAGAGAGAGAATTATTCCGAGAGTTTAGAAAGCTTGCGCTCGCACGAAAACAAACGCCGCTCGCTGTCGTGACGACAACCTGTTGACTAGTTACCCGTTAAAGTGGCAGGCAAACAAAAGAAGAAAAGCAAAGGCCTGCGGGTCTTCTGGTTCAGGTCCCATGGGAACAAGCAAAAGAACAAGTACTACGTGTCGCATGGAGATTCTCCTACGAGGTAAGTGGATGGATGTGGTTCAATGCGCTTAGTAGTTTGACGCCGAAAATACTTACGCGTAATTTCAAGAATACCGTGGTTGGCGAGCTGACCTCGTATGGTGACAATCGCTATTTATAAACAATCAAGTAGCCTGTGTGCGTGTAAATATTTTGTTTATTGCTTAGCTAAGATAATTATTAGACATTAGACGAGATTTGCTGTCTTTGCTTATTATTTCACTGTGAACGAATGGAATTGGGCTAATACCGATAAAAAAACTAAATAATTCTTTTTTTTGTTGTTAAAGGCCACAAAAACAATAATTATTTCAATAATCGATTCTATTGTTCCATTAAGCAAATAAGCGGTTAGTGAATTGATAAAGCGTAAAATATCGCGGCCCCACTATTAAAGCTAATCAAAATTAATAGTTTTCTACGTTCCAATTATGAAACATGCGAGCTACGTATTTTCCTGAAATTAAAACAACGTTGTTTGTAAATTAATACATTATTTAAACGTTTTTAAGTGTTTGAAAGCACGTTTTCCTCAACGAAACGGTTTTATTGGTGACATTTCTGTTTACAACGTTCACAAAAATGTTTTTTAAAATAATACAACTTCTACAATCATTAGGCTACTTCTCGAACACGATGAAGACAACAAACACGAGATTAATATTTGAGAATAATAAACGAGCCGTATTATATTTGACAGAAAATCGATATTTGGTCCCCTATCGCGAATTTTTGTCCAATGAAGAATCGCAAGATGTTAAAACCTGGATAAAATTGGTATTAAGCTGTGACACGACATTCGCGTGATTTCACAAGCCTTGAGTTCCTCGCTCAGCGTATTTTTTACGCGTAGAGCAACCTACTCGAATTTCATGGTCTTTTATTAATTTATTATTCAGAGGTTTGTGTACGGGACTGCGCGATGAAGCGGAACAGATATTTTGTTTGTTTAATTTTCTTTTAACTAGAAAAAAATTGAATATTATGTTCTTGTTATCTGCTATGTCGATGAGAACAAATATTGACGTCGAACATAAAAAATGTTATCGAAATTTATAATCAATCGTATTTTGAAAATGAATCAATTGTGAATAAAGCCGGCCCAGTTATTTTTCAATGTAATAATAGCTTTAAAAAGCAAATTTGTTTCAAATAATGAATGTATTATAAACAATAGAAATTAGACTTCAATCCCATTCACCAGAACGAGTGGTAGAATTTAGAATACAATGGTATTTTTTGGGTCAACTTATCTGGTTTTTCACTGTGCCACTATTATATCTAAACTTGTAAATAAAACCATGTGCGGTGTAGGATGTGAGATATTAAATTTCAACGGAAGTAATTTACCTTGTCAAGTCAGAACAGAGGCGGGTATATTTGGAGCCTATCGTGATTTTTTCACGCTATCAAAGACAATGTACAAAAATCAGTTACTTCACTCCTGAGTACTTCCGATGTAATAGTCTTCGCAGAAATAATCCAAGTGGATTGATTTCCGGAGACCCTGTTGCTCACTCAGTTTGAAAAAGAAACATTTTTATAGTTAGCTTGTTTAAGATCTTTTAAATTATAGATCAGTGGTACTCTACATATATTATGTCCCAAAACTGTTAGAACAAAATTCATATTTTTTTCCAGTTGAAATTTAAAAAAAATCGCCGAAACTTTTCTATATTTTTGAGCCATGTTTGGCAGACCTATAACATTACTGACATTTTTTTTAATAGAGCGCTCTATATTTTATAGTATAAATAGATAACACTTCTAAATACGAATTGAGCGATATAAGGTTATACTTACTTTTTTGTCATAGTTGTCAAAAAATGGAGGAATTAAATGAAAACAATAATTTAGTATATAGTACTAAGCACTAAGTTGAAAGCTGAGATAGATCTAATGGATGAGTGAGGATTTTCTTCTTCGCCTTCGAGATCCAGATAAATCTTTTATACATCCGGTTTGCTCAAACTTTTTGGATACTTGTTGACTACGGACTTTATCTCAGCATACAATCATAATTAAAATTTAAATTGTCTGTTTTTCGCTTACCTAAGGTACTCTGGTGAATTTTATGTGTTTATTGATGTTTTTTTGAGAAAAAAATGCTTTGATGTAAGTAGAAAAAGATTAATAAAGAGTAGGTACGTTTTTTAAAGTACAAAAGGACTATGATTATTTGAAATAGTCGTCAGTACGATATAAAAGACAATTTTTTACATTTTTCTTACAACTATGACAAAAAAGTAGGTATAATATCGCTGAATTCGTCTTTAGAAGGGTGACTATCTATTATTAGTCACCAGACTAGAAGTCTAAACAAGGGTTCACATGACAGACAGTCGACGACTGATTTTTTTAAATAAACCTAGCCTGTCCGACACTGGCCCCAGCCTCTTTTTATTAACTATCATCGATTCTGTTAAATTGCATCACCGAGTACGATGGAACGTCACCCAGCGATTCCGCAATCCCCGTAAAAATTCAGTTGTTTTTAACAAACGAATCGAACGGTGTCATTTTTTCCGCGACTGGTTTCACCTGGCTGGCTTTTCCCGTTGGTCTTTCTGCGCGTCGCTAACGATGCTCAACGGGACGGAGAGACGGCTCGGCTGAGGGATCCGTGCGAGAAGAGTATTGTAAGGATAAACCGTAGCGTTTACAGAGGCAGACGTCAAAATGACGTGTTGTTGCTAAGGAAGGAAGCTGCTTCGTCGAGGGACAGTTGCAGTCGGAAGTGACAGGTCGAGAAGTAAGTCAAAATTCATGTAGGTGCGAGTGGGGAAAATGTGGCCGGTGTGGTTGAAAGAGCCCCCGTGTTTCTGTCACCTCAAGGCCCTAAGACACATGAGAATTTCGGAGACCATCTGGTATGTCACGTCAAGTTCTATCTAGTTTTTATTTGAAGGTGTTTTATGCTCGTCCACGTAGAGTTAAAATCGTCCACCCACACGATTTTCTATGTGTGGGTAAAATTCAGAAGGAATACACATTTATAGCTTCCAAGGCTCGGTTGTAGCGACCAATGAATTGAGCTTTGGGCGAAATAAGATATTGTGGTACAAGTCATTTTTAAATTTAGTTGAATTAAGTTATACGAAAATGATATAAAGTTGGTGACAAGCAACAAGGATTTGTAGATGTTCGGGCACTGACATTAAATTGAATATACTATACAGGGGTTATTTCCACAAGGTCCATTGGGGTGGGTATGGGGGGGCCCTTGGTACTTTGCGCGTGTAACTTTTTCATCTTTGACTTTTTAACAAATTGGACAGCAAATTCCGTTTTCCCGAACTGTTTTACGTTAAAAAGGTACTCTTGTTTCAAATCGTTATCTTTAACGGTTTCTGAGAAAATCGCTCTTGAATTAATCCCACTTTGGTCAATTTCATAGTAATTTAAACAAAAAAATTTTTTTGTTTAAATTTAATCTAATTTTAATAAAAAAATAATAATAAAAAATTAAATTAAATAAAAATTAATTCTTTAAATGGAAAAGAGAGGAAAATAAAATTATTATTATTATTTTTTGTTTAAATTACTATGAAATTGACCAAAGTGGGATTAATTCAAGAGCGATTTTCTCAGAAACCGTTAAAGATAACGATTTGAAACAAGAGTACCTTTTTAACGTAAAACAGTTCGGGAAAACGGAATTTGCTGTCCAATTTGTTAAAAAGTCAAAGATGAAAAAGTTACACACGCAAAGTACCAAGGGCCCCCCCGTACCCACCCCAATGGACCTTGTGGAAATAAATGGATTAGTCCATCAAATTGCTCATCAAAATTTAGCTGTGTATACCAAATTTCATTCATTTATCACAACGCGATTGAGAGATATTGCAAAAAAATGATTTCCATTCCTCCCTCTTCAATGGGTCCCTGTGCCCTTAGGAAGCATTTCCGGACCCATGTTCATATGAACTTTTTTACTTAGTTTTGATCATAGAATCGGCCTGTTCAGGGTTGGCAGCTAATTATGAGACACCCTGTAGACTGGGCGGTACCTGTTTTGGTTTGGGTGAAACGTATATCCCCGGAGATTTTTGGCATTTTGGCTTTCAAATACCACTAAGAATGAAAATTTTTCTATGCGCATAAAAAAACGTGGGCTTAACTTTTGGCGGCACAATATGTTAAAAAAATTCGAATAATGTCATGTTTTTCTTCCTATTTAATTTTGTATCTTTTCAAGAGTTGATTTTAGGAGAAAATGGAAGAAGAAAAAAATGTTTGTAATTAAATTTTATTATTATAAATTATTGTTATTGTAAAAATCGAAAAAATCGCCAAAAATTGAGTTAAAAACATTATTTTTTTAGGGAATTTTTTTGGGGTCTTTAAGTTGGGTATAGGACTTTCATACTTGGCTCAAGAAAAGTTCATGTTATGTAGAATCATCACACCAAATTTCATCAAAATCGGTTCCATAGATTTTACATAATAATTTTGCAATCCAGATTTTGAAAAAAAAGTTCTAAATTTTCAAAATTTTGCACAGTAAAAACCAAGGCCCTTAGATACTTGAAAATTTAATCGCATATAGAAGGGCTCTCAAGCTTTCAAACGCTTTTTGAAACATTCGAATCCGTCAATTAGGAGAGCTCTGGCGCTTGTTTAAACATTGGCCGAATTAGTTATATTTTGTAAAATTTAATTACAAACATTTCTTTCCTCTTCCGTTTTCGCCTAAAATCAACTCTTGAAAAGATACATTTCTAGTGATATTTGAAAGCCAAAAAGCCAAAAATCTCCGTGGATATACGATTCACCCAAATATGGACTCTTTGAAACCGTCTGGACTAATATAAAACACGCATTTATCAATTTGCAAATTGCGCTTCAATTGTTATGACGTACACAGCCAGGTCGATGCAGATTTACAAATCAACTAACAATTATCACAACGAGACTTCTGTCAGCATTTAATGCTAAGGTCAGTCGGATCGTATCTAGTTTGCCCACCTCGATGAATAGCACCTTCTTTTGTCTAATCGACTGTGTCATGTGCCGATTAAGAATTCCGTTTCAGTTTCGCCAGCAATTCGTTCGATTTGGAATGTGTCTCGCGAGGCTGTGGCTGGAATATGTCGTATTTTTGTTTTTCATCGAGCACATACTGTAAGTTTTTACATGTTGCTTTCACTTTTTACACATTATGATAATATTAATGAACATTAACTTTTACTTAATCAACACGAATTGAGGTCCGAAAAAATGACAATTTTAAAAGTCTGCTGACGTTAACAATTCAAAATTCGTTCAAAGATGAACCACAGAACTTGATGAAATGTTACCTGCTCTCTTAATCGGTTAAACAGGATGTATAAAACCTTTTTTGTGGGAACCTTTCGCCTAAAATGGTCCCCGGTTCTGGGAAAATCGGAAGTAAAGGTTTTTTGTTGCCCTCGCGGCTTCTAACAAAGCCCCCCCACTCCAGTCCCGTCCACAGTGCACTATGACTGGCCGTTTACAGTTAGCACGGCCGTCTAGATCACGGATGTGATGCGGATGGAGCTAAAGTTTATCGCGGGGGCTGCCGTTGGATGGTAGTCGAATTCCGAAATGTCCATCTAGTGGACGCGCGACTACCTGTTGTTTTGTTATGTGCATTTGTTTACAAGCGTGTATTGTGTAGTGTATATCTTCCCTTTTTAAGTAATGTCGTGGTACGAACGTCAAATCTAGGGTCGCCCGCAAAACGTAGGTAAAATAAAAATTGAAAATTTGCAATAGCTATTGTTTTATACCGTCAAAAGGTGAGATGATCTTTCCCCAAAGTTTGTGAACGTGAATGCATGCCTACTAGGAGGAATTGGAAATTTTTTATGTGTGTTGTTCATTCAACTTGCTTTGTCCAAAATGAGGCCTTGGATAAGATTGTTGACAGTGGGGTGGATGAATTAAAAAGAGATACAACTGGAAATGTTGGATTCCAGCTTCATGATGACATAAAAATATAAATATGTAATAGCCATTAGCATGCATGCTTATAAGCTTAAAATAAGTATATTTTTAAATAAAATAGCCGTAATAAAGCTGGAAAACTCTTTATGGCGATAATTGCGAAATTAAATTTTCTATTTTGCCCACGTTTTTTATTTCGTAAGACGTAGGTACTTCTCGGTATTCTAAGAACTTCAAATTGACGCAACACATCTGTATTTACGTTAAAAAATATTTTCCTTATAAAAAAACACTGTGCATAGTAGATGCAAATGAACATATGCAAAACATTACTTGAATCGATAAAAAACAAATTTCCCGGTCACATGTTTTGTTTAAATGTACAGATTTATTCTAATTTTGCTCCTTGCGCCCTTTGGTTTTTCAAAGCTACACTTACTTCGCTGTTAAATACCATACGCCATGGCCATCTGACTATTATCCATGTTTGGATTAGACTGAACAAAGCCAACATGATATAAAACAAGACAGCCCTTTGATTACCGAAAGGAACCGACATTTGTTTTGTATCACGTGTTGTGCTTATTTTAATCAGCGACTGAAGACAGAAGTCGTCAAATGTCACAAAAAATACTCATTAACACGCAATTGTTTGTAGTTTACTCAAATACTCAAATAATTTCAGTTTTAATAACCGCACGCCGAATATTCTTTTTTATATGGGTATTTTAAAGCACTGAAATAATTTTTAAAGGACTTTACATGTTTCTATGCTCTTGTTTATAGTTTATAACTTTGTGATAAAATTTTATTGTTTCAATGATAGTGCCGTTTGTTTGTTTGTTGTCATTGTCATATGCGAGGTATGTAAATCATTTACGTCTAAATTGGAGCACCGATTGTTCCATAATCATTATCTTGTTTGACTTCTAAATCTGACGTGAAGCTTAAACGGTTATTCTCAGCTGCCTAGATTCTAGCGTGTATAAAATTTCGGGGAACTTTTTCCTTCTTTTGAATACCAGAAATCTATATTAGAAAACGTTTAGAATATTTGTTTGCACGCACATTTTTTTAATTTTATTTTCTTTAATCGCATTCTAATAGACCGCCCCGTATGACACGGTTTCGAATCAAAAGGAAATATCGTCATCGCCGTAAAATGTAAAGCTTCTGCAGCCTCTCAAGGTCAAACAGGTATAGTCATTTAGCTCAGGGTTAGGCGTCTTTTTCTCTTGAGGGAATCGCTAAAAATAAACACTCAGATGATTTATAAACGACAAACTTTTTTGCCCGTAAAAACAGCGGCGACAAAATAGTTATTTACTCGCGATAAGGCAGAATTTAGTTTGAATTTCACCTCGACAGTTTAGGTACCTAGTTAGAGAAAATTGCGATGAGCAACGAAAAATTATTGTGGAGTTTTCGCAAACGAGTGTAAGATTGATATTTGTTTGTTTTTGTGTTAATATGTCTAACATATTGCAGTGTGGGTCTACCTTTTTATACCTATTATATACCTAGTTACATAGAAAAGTTGTAAAGTCATTATTTGTGAAATCACATCAGTTTTAAGATCGAAAAAGCAATAAAAAGTACTCCCACATCCAATTTAACTACAATTCTTTAGATTTAAAGATGAAAAAAGTATTTTATCGTAAGAAAATGTATCTTTGACAAATTTGTACCGTTTTTAAAGCAAATGGCACTGCAATATACGTTTCTACACCCTTACAAATGGTCCCCTTTCTAAATGAAACTTTATAAATAGAGTGTAGGACGGAATTCCCTCTGTTAATGTCCCCAAACAGTATGTTGATGGTAAGACAGATAGATGCATTATTATTAGCTTTCAACATAGTCGTAGAAGCTATGTACCGAGATGTATATATTTACGGTTTTCTCGGAGTTCCTTATTATATCAAATTATTGCATCTGTTCGCGTATTTTACGACAAGAAAAAAATGTTTTACCTAGATTTCGAACACCTGTAGATTAGGGTAATTTTTGTAAATGAAAACTCATTTTAGACCAAAATGCATGTTCTCTTTGCATTGAAAATAGCAAACAAGACCAACTTTTTTAATATGTAAGATTATTTTAATGTAAGATTTTGCTTATAAGATGTAAGATGTAAGATTTTGCTTAGATGCCTAGTAAACTGAAGTAAGTACTTAATGTATAAGTACTTGCTATATCTTAGCAATGTTTAATTTCTTGTAGCTTGTCCATATATTATATTAGCACTTATTGATCTCACTATCGCACTATTCACTAAAACAAATTACACAATATATTTTAATCAGAATAATTAGAACTAGTATAACTAAATTTTTGCACTGCATGACACTTCACAAACTGCATACTACACACAGTACACTACACACTACACTGTACGCGCCTAAAATGACACAACACGACACGACGCGAATCTATCCGATCGGTTCCGAAAATGAACGGAAGTTAGCCTCTCATCACACTCCTGAACCTCACATAAATAAATACTACTCATACTTATATTTATAATCTCGACTTATTTAATATTAAGAGGATTATTTATACTAAAACTAAAATCAAAAGAATTAAATCGGCAACTGTTTATGTACCCGCAACAAAATTTGACTTCAGCAGTTTAAACGGAAGCTCCGATCGTGATCCGGAAGTTCACGAAGAACAAGTGAGCAGTGTTGCCAGATGGGGCTATTTGTAGCCAAACTGGCTATTTAAAATCTCCATTGGCTACCCATTTTTTTATTTGGTTATGGCTACAGAAAATGGCTACATGATGAAAATCTCAGGCTACACCATGGCTACAAAGTAAAAATTATAATTTTAACCAATTTTAAGAATAAGAATAATGTTTTCCGGAAATAGTCCGAAATGCTGTTTTAATTTCTGCCCTATAACTATGGATAAACTCAAAAAATTTACTTCAGATATTTATAAAAACACGTTTAACACAGAGACTGCCACGTGTGATACTAAAAATGTAAGGGAAATGGAAGAAATAATTCAAACTATAAATGACTTAGAGCATCTACCATGTCCTAAATTTATCATAAATTTATTTACATATTTTTGTGGAGTATTCAAATTTATTTTTTTAACCTATAACATAGCTATTTTTTGTTTTCTTTTGAGTAGTTGTTTTATATTTGTGTCATTTGCCAAAATTAATTAATTTTGAAGAAAGCTGTTCTCAAATCAAGTTCTCACAGAAAACGTAAATAACGGGCGGAAGATAATGGGTTTGCATTCCTGCATTTATTTAACAAATATTTGCATATGATTATGATTTAATGTTGGAAGGGAAGGTTGGCTATTTTTGGCTATTTCTTCCCGTTAAAGTGGCGACATTAATTTTCGAGAATCTGGCAACACTGCAAGTGAGGCCTAGCTAAGCTAAGCTCATATGAATCTAGGTGGCGATGTTACATTATCGCTAGTCTTTGTAGAGGTCCTTATGCACGAGATATTTAAGGTCCACTGAGGAATTACAGATGTAGGAACGTACAAGTCTTCGTTGATACTTACGTACAAAAATGTTAATTTAATGTGGATGGAGATATATTACAATTCCGAAATTTCTAAATAAAAATAAATGCTTATTATAAAAAACTAAAATTAATTATTTTAAATGTTTCTAAATTTAATTCTATGCCTTTCTCCATTCCATGTATTGTAAATTAGATAAATTTACCATGGCTATATTCAAAAGTAGAACCCCATTGACCTAAACCCCCTGTTGCAGGTCCATAATGTCGGGAGACTCTCCCAACACCCACCAGACGGACATCTTCGACTTCAAGGAGGGCCGCACCTCGCCCGCCCCCACCACCTCCAAGGACGCGGCCGTTCAGAGCGGCGGCGAGGTCGTCCACGCCACCGTCCTCGTGGAGCCCGAGAAAGACAAGGATAAGGACAAGGAGGATGAGAGCAAGGACCTGAACTCCCCGATCCTCAACAACGCCTCCCAGGACGAACGGAGGTCCTCTGACCCCGACCAGACCGTCCAGCTGGAGGAGCTGAAGTTCTCCGGCAAAGACAAGGACCGCAGGGAGAAGAGGAAGCTCAATGGGGACCTGGACAGGTTAGACGGTGTCTGGGTACCCAGCAGGGACCCCCGGAAAGACGTCAAGGCTGAAGAGGACGACGAGAACTGTACTGTGAAGTGCCTGTACTATACGATGCAGTGCTGTGAGTGCGCTATTATATGAAAGTGTGATAATTCGGACGGTGTAGTGTGTAAGTAGTAAAAACTTAGGTTCTGGAACCCAGTCGGGTGGTTTAGTGGAAGATGCGATGGTTATTTTGTTTTTGCGTATGGGAATTGTTTAGCTACGTTTGTCCGGGGGAATACCGAGACCCAGAGGTAGCTAATTTTCATTTTGGCAGGCAAATCACGGAAACTTTGAAATATAATTATTTATATTGATTAAAATGGTGATATAAATACCACAGGAACAGTATTATTTCTTCTTGATTTATTGTTGACTTGATATTTTGTGAGTGGTTTTAAATTTGGAATATAAGGCGTTTTCAGATTAACTTAAAACTTGACGTGAAAAAAGTCCTACGTCTGCAAGCGTTTCATTTTCAAAATTTGGAGGAAATTGTCAAAATGTCTCTGAAGACGCTTGACGTAGAGTTAGAAACTTGGCCACTGAATATTTTAGAAATCCGACCGCTGATTTGATTAATTAATCTTAAAGAAGTCATTAACCAAGGTCTTGTCAGTCCCGATCAAGCATCTTCAGAGATATTTTGGAAACTATACAAAATTTTTTAAGTTACAACCTCGAGAACTAAGAATTTCAGGGCATTGAACTGTTTTCTCTCATTTTGGTCATTCAGGTTCAAATTTTAAGTTGGGCAAGTTAATCCTGAAACACTCCGCATAGAGAATATTTAAATGAAGAGCACGGATACTAGTAGATCCCGATATTGTGGTTAGAGAGAGAATAATACTTCATTTAAGTATTCCCTGTATATATCGAATACGAGTCGTCCAACTTGACGAAAATCTATTCGAATATGGTTTTGAGTTATACTCAATTTTAAATGAAATATTCTCGATGGAAAGCAATAAATGATAACGTTTAGCTCTCTAAACTTTTCTTAGCTCAATAAGTTTTAAATAGTTAATAGCTAAATAATTCAAACTAGTTTAATGAATGTTATTGAGAATTGATCTCATTCAATTTGTCATTGGAGGAATTGATATTGAATATATTTCTTGCTTATAGAATCGTAATCGAAAAACGTCTAAACTGGTACCAATTACTAGGATTTAAATTATCATGTCTCGAATTGTGCTAATTGATTTAGTATTTGGATATTTTTAACTTTACTGTCTTAAACTGAATGATATTTTGTATCAAATCATATGGTACTAAATTATAAAATTATGAGATGGTGCAATATATTTTAAATAAAATATTTCCATGATTTTTTAATTTAAATTAATAATATCGAGTGCAGATGTACTTACCGTTGCTTATAATTCCCTGTTCCCTGTAGATCAAACACACATTTTCTTCTTCTTCTTCTACCGTAATTTTCTTAAGCAAGATGGAGGATTTCTTTGTAAAAATTCACATTAAAAGTACAAAAAACTACTTTGCTTAGACTGAATCATACCATGGACTCGAGATTACTTGGTAGCATTCGTATTATGGTACGAGTATATATATTTTACACTTATCTATCAGAAAACTTTAGCAATAGATATTTTTAAGTGCCATAAGTCAAATATTTTGTTTTAAATCGTGCAGTACTGGCTATAAAATTATGAAATCTTGCAATAATCTATTTTAAATGAAATTTGAAACGCTGTAACTGTTGAAATAAGTACAAAAGCATTCATAATATTGTTTATTTAAATAAAATCGAACAACAAAATAATTTTTACCAAAATTAACAAACCATATTTTGTGCATACAGTGCAAATAAAATTTCACTACGAAAAGAGTATTCTTTAGAAACAAACACTGTTATAACATATAAAAAAAAGTACAATATACAAGAACGGAAGAAATTTGGAAAATCTTTAATAAAAAAATTATTAAAATATAAAAACTGTACAGTTACAAGAATTTACACGAACCTCGTTTATACTTAAAATTAACTTTAAAGAAGTCTCATATCAACAGAAATGCCGAACAAACCAAAAATTAATACATAGCAGCGACTCTTGTCAATCCGAAGGCAAATAGCGTGAAATAAACAGTCCCTTTGAAACAATTTGATCGTTATGGGTTGTAAAAAATTTCCCCACCGCAACGAAACTCCAAACAAAACCGAAAAAATCTGAATAATTTCTTCAAAACCCGCCTATCACTTATAGCGTCGCCTCAATATGAGACATCCACAGTAATTGTACATAGAACCATTTAAGTAAGAACTTACGAATTATAACAGCCCTAGTTTTAACAAAAAACGCCCTTATAAACGTTCACAAATTCCTAATTTGATTTGTTACCACAGCGCGTCAGTTTATGTAAAAATGCGTAGCAACACGTCCCAGTCCAGAACTGAAGCTGCGGCTTTCCTAAAAGCGAAACGTGTCGTGATATGGCCGAAATGTGCCTCTAATTCTGCTTTCTGGACTGGACATGCCTACCGACACACATGCTTGTGTATAATGCCCCGTAGGTCAAATGCACGTTTTCTTCTTCTTCTTCTACTGCACATAGCTTAAGCAGAGTTTACACAACCGCGAATTTGAATTTGTATTATACCGCACCGAGATCGATTCAAACAAAAAAGTTAATTTTCATATGAATTAGTCGGTCAGAATAACATTCGAGTTTTCGTGACTATGTAAACCTGCTTAAAATGGAAATATTCACATTAAAAGTACAACAAAATCTATTTCTTCAATACATAATTTTAAAAATCTATTTGAGACTGCTTTTGCGTTATTTTTAATCGAATACTTTACTGTTTTCCGTTGCACCCAAACCTAAAAGATCGCATGAAAAAACGAACAAAAATGAATCGATTTCGCCGTCAAGGATCCCACGACAATTTCAATATCAAAATTTCCCACAGAAAATCCCACAGGCCGTCCCAAACCCCGCAACACCAGGTCTTACCATCGTTTTTACATAAACCAACAACGAAAAAAGACTAGACGATACTGAAACGCTACGTAGCTCATATCACGTTTATCGGCAGTGGATGGGCCTCCGAGTTGACGACGTACTTTTCCAAGTCCAGCAGTCGGGGGTTGTCGCTGAACAGCAAGTACAGGTACTTAAGCGTCTCGCTGAGGAAGAAGGACTCCATCATATCCTTGGGACGGACGACGGTGGTGCTCCTGACGTTGCCGATGGAGGTGTAGCCGTTCGACACTTTGGTGTAGTTCTCGAAACCCTGGAAGATCCGCCAGCCCCACTCCTGATAGGTGGCGTTGCCCGTGAACTGGTACATGTACCACAGGCTCTCGAGGAACTCGGGACGCAGGAGGTTGTGGGCGTCGTTCGATTTAACGTACATGTCGTTCGAGTTCTCACCCTGAAAATAAAAAACATTCTGGACAACATTCACAAAAAAAGTTACTCGATATCTTTTAAAAAATTACAAAATCGCAGTTTCGCATGTGACGAAATCCACGAAAACTTAATTTCACCGAAAAGTGCGCGATAAGTGGCGTATGTGTAAAAAAACCGCAGAAATTAGTTAATTTTTATTTAGAGAGACACCGAAAATGACATAACCGCACAAACTCACCTGTATATTAAAATAAGTAATCTCCGGCGCAAGGAACGTAGGCTGCTGGGCGTAAGTTTGGTAGCAGGTGGTGAGCAATTCCTCGGCGAGCTTCATGTGACTGTTCGGCATGCCGAAGTGAACGCCGAGGGCTAGGGTGCCGGGCAAATAGCACGTCAAGTGGTCCATCTTCGGCTTGAAGTCCTTCCCGCCACCCAGCAGTTCTCCCACGAAAAGGAAACCGTTGGGAACGGTGCGTTTCACTAGGTGCTTTTCGATACCCTCGACGGCCATGATGTAGTCCTCTTTCAAACTAGATGGCAGAAACAATGGTGATTTCAAAAAAATGTTGCAATTGTTTGCTTATCCGTCAAAATTTGTAGGTTATCTGTCGTGTTTAGGTTATGTCAAAATTTTGAGGTTAGATCATATCTATCAAAAATTACAGGTTACGTTTTCAAGTTTCGGCATAAAACGTCCAATATACTCACTAGTCTAACGTCTTCCCAGTCTGTATCCACTGCTTAAGTAAATATTCGTAGTAACTGTCGCCCCTGGCCCCCAAGGTGATAGTCGAGTACGATCGGAACTGGCCGGTATTTGCATTGATAAATATAGGAACTAGACCGTCTTTCTTCTCCAGTTTGTGCACCAGTCTCGACACTTTCTCGGCGGCATTCTGAGAAATAACATCGAGTTTAATCGAATCGGAATATTTACAGTTTTATAAGGCTACCTCGTATTTGGGATCCCCCGTAGCTCGACTTACGTCCCTAAATTCCAACTGGATGGTAGTAACTTCCGATGTACTACTATCCGGGGACCATTTCGGGGCATGGGCTTTCCTCGTAAATAAGTTGATGTCCGAGAAAGGAATTCCCGATTCCGACTCGAAGCAAGGCAATAATCTGTCGGCCAAATCAGTCTAGAAGGAAAAGAGTGAATAAATAAACTCACATCAAAACTGACAAACTAAAATCGACTTCTTCATTTTTGTTACTGTTTTATTTTTTTCATTTAACACGTGACATACCTTGTGGGTTATATATCACAGAACGATCTACATCAGTAGGTACAAAGTAATGCATTGTGCTGGTAGGCATCGAGTAAAAATGACATCTGACAAATGACATAAACTTTATAGGTTATGTCTCACAGAGCCACCTACGCTAGTAGGTACAATATAATGCTTTAGGCTAGTAGGCATTGGTTGGCAATGACATTTAAGACTTTTTAGGTTACATCCGACAGCTCGACCTAAGCCAGTAGGTTGAACGGCTTTACGCTAGTAAGCATCGAGTAATAATGACATTAAAGATAATATAAAGTATACTTTGTTGGTTATATTCCACCCACACTCCAAAAACTGCTATCTTAGAATCGTTATTGAGAAATAAATCCGTAATTATAAATCCAACTTACCGCTTTTTGCAGAAACATATCGTCCTTTGAAAAGTGATATATACTAAGCAAGCCGCCCAACACTCTGATCGTCACCTCAAATAAGTTAACGTCGCGATTAACCTCAAAATGTAGATGCTTATCCACCCAGTCCCTCGCCTCGGTGTACTCTAGAAGAAAAAATACTCTCAACCGAACGAAAATATTCCGATGCTACAATATATTCAAGCGAACAACTGTTTTTCGACTCCAGTAAAGACAGAAAACTTATTAAATATGTAAACGATACCTTCTTTAAGTCCCATGATGAAGATGGTGTCCAGAGAGTCCACGATGGTAAGCCCGAGCCCAAACCAATCGTGATAGCTCTCAGTGATAGGTTTGAGGTGATCGTGTCCCCAAGCGAACTTCTTGTATCCCTTCCAAGCGTGCCTGAACGCTTTTATGACGGCTTGTTGTCGCATGGTTGTGGGGCCTGGAAAATCGCATTAGTTACGAATTTATCAAAACAATGGTTTTAAATTACCATTATCTAACCACAAATGGTAATTTGGGGCTATTATAGTTCGACCTTGGAAAGATTACAGGTGATCAACACAATTACCATTTACTAATTTATTGTCTAAATAATAACTACGTAGAATGATGCTCGAGATAACAGATTAATACTTATGTAGACCTACAGTGTGTTTATATGCTACTACATATTTTGTAGTAGTGATGCGAGATCTCAAGTGAAAAATCGAGTGGTACTCGATTATTGAGATCGCTCGAGATATCTCGAGATGTTTCGTTTATATTTTCAGTGCATCATGCATTTGAATAAAAAACAATTTTGTTCAAGAACTTATTAGATTTTTAAATATCACTTGTTCTAGTTTAACGAGCATGAAATTAAATTTAAAATAAGGAACATAGAAATTTGTAAACAACTAACCTGTGAATTTTTGTTCTACTTTGGGAGGCAAGAGCACTTGGTTTTTATTGACGCTGTTATCGATCTCTGCCCCAGCAGGCTCCTCTAATACCTGACTCTCGTGTACGACTTCGTTGAAATTGGGTTCAACATCTCTGGGGTCATTCCTGATATTCTTTAATATATCCTTTCCATTCTCGTTAGGATTCAAGTCTACAGATATAACGGCAGACTCTGGCTCGTAAGACACTACATAGACTATTATTAAAAATACCATAGCAGACAGAGTACAGACCACAGTCTTCTGACATTTCGACAATTGATTCCATTGCTGAAAAATTAAATGTTTCAATAATACATGGATATCACACGAAAGGTTTAGAAACAGATTTTCACCCACCCTCCTTAGACTTTTTGTTTTCCTTCTTTGGAACAGTGGTTCAGAAGGCGACACGTCCACAGCGACATGGTCATGATAATAATCGACCATTTCTTCACGGTAATTTATATATATTGCATAATTTCTTCAAATATTATACGGTAATTCTTTCTCTGTACCCGCACCTATCTATTTTCTTTGCCACCGCTGCTTGACATCGGAATTCGAAATGTCAATCGCACAAATAAACCCACGTCAGATTTCAGCAGTTAGTTCTGAAAACGTATCTTGATGGTTCCTCTTCTTCTTCTCTCTCAGTTATATGGTTATGGTAGAATAAATTCCCTAATTTGTTGAAATTTATACAGACAAACAACTGTCAATGGAACCTAACCTATTAATTTGTGGGGGTTTTGTAATTTATAAATTAAAAAAACATGTTATCTGTTCAAAGCATAAATCAGTCGGGTATTCCTGACAAAATGTGGCAACCCCCCTTTGTTCAATTTGAAACGACGTAAGTATAATTCATAGATTCCATATTCCCAATTTATATGGAAGTGAGGTTAGGCATTAAAACTGAAATTTTCAGCATTACCCTTGAATGAATTAAAACATTAACTAATGGAGGTATTATCTTATTCCAGACTTTGTATTATGTCTTATTTTCAGTATGGGGGAATTTTCAGTAGAACTATACTGGAAACATGCTCCTCAAACTTGCCGGAACTTCGCAGAGCTCGCTAGAAGAGGCTACTATAACAACACGATATTCCATCGAGTGATTTCGGATTTCATGATTCAAGGTGGAGATCCTACAGGCACAGGAAAAGGAGGGCTTTCTATTTACGGGCAAACGTTCAAAGATGAAATCCATCCCGAATTGAAGCACACGGGTGCCGGTGTGTTATCGATGGCTAATTCGGGACCCGACAGTAACGGGTCTCAGTTCTTCATTACGCTGGCTCCAACGCAATGGTTGGATGGCAAACATGCTATTTTCGGTAGGATTCATTCTGGGATGACGGTCATTCAGAGGATAGGACTGGTGGAGACGGATAGGAATGATAGACCGGTAGACGAGGTGAAGATATTGAGAGGAAAAGTGTTGAAAAGTTAGGATACAAGACATTTTTTTTTTTTAATAAAAAGTGGAACAATCTATTTGTTAATAGTTTAAAAAAATCCCTAATTTATTTTTGTGTATATGTAAGCAAAAATGGATTGTAAAGAATGCCATGTTAGTCACTAAAACAAATTACAAGCTGTTCGTTACCTCAATCATTTTTTAAGAATTTGTATTTAATGATTATATAACTTATGACAGTTGAGACAAAAATTGAAGGTTATATATTAACCTTGAAACTAAAGTGAGAATTCGGTACATTAGAACTACTAAGCAAATAACCTACTTTCCTTAGGAGTTTCGCTTATTTTAATTTTGATCTTTATAAATTTTAACCCATTAGATACTAATAAAACACCAAACAAAAAATCCATATCGTTTATTTTTTCTTCGGCTCTATCCGTTCTCGACAGTGAAAAATCAAAATATAAAAAAATATATTTTCTTGTAAAAACAAACAATGAGTTCTAAAACAAAATTTTAATCGTTACTTTGTATAATTAACGCAACATTATCGTACATTAAAAAACGGTATTACATCCTATATAAAAAAAAATGGTTATAATTATAAAGTGGAACTAACATTAATAGGGTACATTTGAGAAGAGATATGACACAGATTCTCCGTTATGCGTGCGCCTCACAGCCTCCGCAAACATCATCGACACGTCAATACACTAAAAAAAATACAGAATTGATAATGAAAAAAAACAAACAAAAACAGAAAAATTAAAATCTTTACCTGTACTTTGGAACAATCTTTCATATGAGCGTCCTGAGGTATGGTATTCGTCACGACGACTGCCTCGAAACAAGCGTTATTTATCCTGGAAATCGCCGGACCAGAGAAGATACCGTGAGTTAATATCGCGTACACCTTAGTCGCCCCGGCTGTGGTCAGCTTCTCCGCCGCGTGGCAAATGGTACCACACGTGTCGGCCATATCGTCCACAAGAATAGCCACCCTGTCTTTCACGTCTCCCACCAGCACCATAGAATCGACCTCGTTCGCCTTCTTCCTTTCCTTGTGGATCAGGGCGAATTCGACGTTCAGTCTGTCGGCTATGGAAGTCACCCTCTTGGCGCCCCCCGCGTCCGGGGACACTATGATGCTGTTCCTCCACTCGGAGATGTTCTCTTTGATCCACTTGAGGACTGCGGGCTCGGCGTAGAGGTTGTCCACGGGAATGTCGAAGAAGCCCTGGATTTGGGAGGCGTGCAGGTCCATGGTGATGATGTGGTCCGTTCCGGCCACCGAGAGCATGTTCGCCACTAGCTTGGCGGAGATCGGTGCACGGCTCTGCAAGAACGTCGTTAGTATAGATTACGATGGAGCCCCGGTTAGGAAATGTATGGGGGTTGTTGCAAATGCATTCTTTCTGGCCTACTAATCGTTAATCGATTAATAATTTCAATTATTCAAAATAATGGATTTATACGGGGTGTCCCAAAACTAACGAGCTGCCCCGATAACTTTCCAGGGCTTCCAAGGGGTTTGACGAATGACCTACAAGCACATATTCTCCTCCATTTAATATTATTAGGTTGACCTTGAAGCTTAAAGGTCAAGGTTAAATTCAAGGTCACCAGAATATCGATTTCTTGATATCCTATAACTATTATCAGAAACTTTTTTCGATAGGACAACCTTGAAAAGTTTTTTGGGACTTCCTGTATATAAAATGCATTTGCAAATAGGATAAAGGGCATGGTGATGGGCACAGTAAGCTTCCCATTAATGAACATTTACCCAAAAGCATGACAAAGCACGAAAAAAAGAATTAGTTGCACCGTTGGGAACACCAGTGATTTTCAATACAAGATATTCCAAATATCTGTCCATATAGTTGAAATTTGTAAATGTTAATCGTCTCAAGACACATTGCCATGTATGAAAAAATATTCAAGTAGAAATTGACATGCATGCCCACCTAAAAGCTGTATCGATTTATTATTCATTTTCAATATTTTTTTTTATCTGATTATTCATGTGGAGTTTATGTTAAAAAAAGATTGTAAATACCCATGTGATGTGATGTTAGTTTCATTCCAATTTTGCCCTAAATTTCGCCAATTTTTCTGTTTAAATTTCCATTCTGAAATTTTATTCTACTTGTACGACGTCATTAGGCGAAAAATTAGGAAATATCACAAAATAACTTCCGCACCGATTTTTTAGGTGGGATTCTATAAATTAATTGATTCCGTGTCCACCGCTAGAGGTCGCTCTGAAACCTTCATTGCTAAATTGAGCAATGTGTCACAAATTAAGACGATTTTTAGATTGCAAAACGTAGCAAATGTAATTTATACATTTAAAATTCATAACTTTTTTAATTTATAAATCAGTAATTACTAACATATAGAATTCCAAACAAAAATATTCTAAAAATTGCTACATTTGGTGCAAGATTTGAAGTTTCCGTTCATTGGCGTCACAATGCATTTAAATTTTTTATGGACTTAAATGAGGCCAAAATCAATTAAGAAAAAATATGGGTCTCACATTTTTTAACCTATTTCGATCCTGTGATGTTATTTTGCAAGTATAGTCATATAACTGCGTTTGTTAACGTAATTTTCACACTCGCCAACGATACAATACAATTTAAATAATTTAAGTATTAAATACTTCTTAAATAACATTTAATACCCCTCTAGTTATGTATTTAAAGTTGAAATTAGTGAATTAGGTTACAACACGTCAAAAAATACATATTTAACTTTGCTATCTTTATTTAAATTTGTATATGATCCTCAATCAGATAGTCCTTTTTAATGTTGGCTTATAAATCTACTCACTAGGATAAAAGGACAGCAATTCACAGTTTTTGTTTTGTAAACAGAACCAATAACAGTGATCACGATTAGATTATTGATATTACTACTCCAGTATGTACAATTTTTATCTAATCCCGGAAACCATCTGTTCCATAAATCGACCTAAAGTAATTTTCTAAAGATACAGTAATCCCGGGATGGAAATACAGAAATAGAAAAGCGAATATCTGAAACAGATTGAACTTCGGTGGAACAAATTGGAATTATTTGAAAAATAATTGCCCGAATTTCTCCGAAGAAAAAATTATTTCCCCGCCACTGGTGCAAATAAATGGAATGAGACAGTTCAAGGTCAAGCGACGAACTTAAATCTTGAGCAATGATTTATATAATAGGACATGCTGAATTGAAACAATTTATATCATTTTAAGTCGGAGTAATCAAAAAAATACTTTTTTTAGTAGCTCTGTGCTAGTAGAAGCATTTTAAGACATTTTATCTAGCACTACATAATAAAAATAATCAGCTGAGATAATTGATATCGAATTTGAGATTAATATATAAAAATTAGATTAGCTTTATAAATTGTAGGATTTCCAAGCGTGATTTAAAAAATCTGAGAGATAAGTGTAATTTTGGGCCAAAGTTTATTAAAAAAAGTAGACGTTCAACAAAAGCATAATAATTTACACTAAATAAGTTTGCAGCCAGAATTTGTTTTGTCTTGTATTCTACGATAAGAATTATCAGTTTGATATTGACGCAATGAAGAAAATTGGACCCCCAGGAAGAATTTCGTAATTTCTAACGTACATGTTTATTCGAAGTATAAGAAAGAAACATTATGAAATTGTTATTCGTAACAGCAAAATGCAGATAAAGGGTTAAATGTCATGGGTATTATGAACTGCTATCATTTCAAAGTTACAACGTTTTTTTGACTGCAAAATAAATAGGTTTATTAAAATGGTTGTGAAGATTTAACGCGACAATTAAATTAAACATATTAAGCAAATATTTCAATAAGTCACACTTATATTTTATTGATTATACTCGTTTGATCAATATTTTTGAAATTTTTCAACTTCGTAATACCAAAACTGCACAAATTATTAATTAGTTCGTTTGAATAAAATACGAGACAATTTACTGCAAAAAAAATATATCGCCTATTTTGTAAAACGTATTTATTTCGCTAATTCACTAATTTAGGTATTAATTTTAAAAATGAACTGTCTAATCTCAGTCTGAGTTTCGATCCCAACTGTAGTTATATCGAAATGCATAATGATCTAATGACAGATTTTTCCCTGGTTAGTAGAGTACGATAAACGGCGTTACATTATTATTTAATATTTCGGATAGAAACAGTGATTAGTCTCGTTACAAGTTTAGTATGTAGCAACATTCTTTATTGTTAAACGATTAAAGGCTGCAATTGTGTTTTTTTTTGTTACACTTCTCGAAATAAGTTTGGACGTTACATAAAATTCAAATAGAGTATGAATTAATGCTTCAACAAATAACTAGTTCAAAGTATGCACTTTCAAAATACAAACAATATTATCACTGTGTTTTTAATACAAAGCTAAAACAACAAATGTGAGAAAGTAAATTATTTCCTTTGCGGCATTTTTACTTTGCCTATTTGTTTATATAATTTTGTTATATATACCAGCCATGGTTTTGTGCAAAAAAAAACAAACCTTTTAAAAATAATTTACCACCAAAGCATAATTTATATGTATCAAGGATTTGTTTAATTTTCTCTAGTCATCAATTTAATACATTCACATGACCATAATGGGTGTGTTTATGCTACACATACACATCGGCAACAGATGAATGTCAAAAGGCGAGACCCAAAAAAGCTACCCCTACATTCAGCTATTTGAAATATTTTACCCTGAATTTCCATTCGATAGATTTCCACTTTTCCACATGGCGTTCTTTTTCACTCGACACATTCTAAAATAATTTTGGACGGTTTGTACAGAAGCTTTTCTAACACACACTGTAATTAACTGAAATTAGCGTAGCTTGTCGGCCATCTACAGCTAAGCGAGTCACTTTTCTACAGACTCTGGGGTAATTTCAGTCAACAGGAATTTAAGGATAAAATATAAATAAAGTTTTACTCAAGTACTGAATAACTATGAAATTGATGCAACATTTAAATAATTTATAACAGATTACCAGATTATCTAATTAATCCCGAAAATTCACTGCAAATAGTTTCAAGTAATTTATCGATTACAATTTACATTAAAATATGTGCAAATTATGCAAAGGAATATTATTACTGTAAAGAAAACTATTTATTTAATTATAAGCCTTAATTAGGTAGGTGTAAATAAAATTTTGTGCCATTAAACGATAAAGTAAAATGCTTTTTTCTTCAAAAATTTAACATTTTGCCTGGTAAATAGAATTCTAAAAATCTCAAGGGGAAGCAGGTGGTTTTAGAGGTTATATCACATAGTGTGCTACTGACTATTACTTAAAAAAAGGCATACTCACACTTACCTTATCTTTCTTGTCTTGCCGGGCGTAGGGGTAGCAGGGGATGACGGCCGTCACACGGCTGGCAGAGGCTATTTTACAAGCATTTATCATGATCAACAGTTCCATCAAGTTGTCGTTTACCTCCCCGCATCCCGATTGCACGATGTACACATCTTCCCCGCGGACCGACTCGCCGATTTCCACGCTGAAAAATCAATAAATTATTAATATACCGTACCTGCCACGCACGGCGTGGAAACGAAAAACTGCATCCAAAAAACGCATCACACACGCTGCATCATGTAAGCAAAACAACGGTGCAACGATACAATTCAAAATTTGCTTACCATGTCTCTAGATTGCTGAACTTTTTCGTGACGACTTTTCCCAGATCGATTCCCAGGCGATCCACAATCCTCTGGGCCAAATCCGGGTGCGAAGTCCCGCTGAAGACTTTGATGTTCGGCATCCTGCTCTGGAGTGTTAATTCTTGTTGATTAAGCTTCTCAAGATTGGCCCGCAGTGAAGACTTCGCACGTACGGACTCAGATAAGCCTGGCATAACTACGGGACAAGCGACCAATCATAAAGGGTACTGCGCAACAGTGCGATAAACCTCAGCGCGCAATAAGTCCCAATTATCGTTGCTCAATTTATATGTTTTTGTTGTTGTGTTATTGACGTAAACAATTAGCTACGCGTTTTCCAGCGATCGACATTTTTTTTAAATGCGATTTACAAAATTTGGGTGGTTGTGTTGTGAAATAATTCCCAATGGAGAACAACAGAAAACCTACCATTGGCGGCCCTGATTTGAAAAATGACATTTGAAATTTCACATTTCATTTCATTTTTCGACTAACTTCAGTATAAAATTAAAGTGAGAAATCAAATAAAAACTGATTTATTTTATCAATCATCGTATATAACTTACACCTCAAGATTTAGCCCAGTTGTTATGGTTGATTTTGATTCACTTACCGATTAGTTATTTATTAAATATTAGTAAGAATGGCAAACATAGCGGCTCAAAGAATAAAACGCGAATTTAAAGAGGTTATTAAAAGTGAAGAGGTAAGAAAGAAAACTGAAAAAAATTTTTGAATTATGTCACTGCTTATAATTAGCCTGCCTGTCGAAAGGGTACTCACCTTGCTCCTCAGAATTTTGCATTTCACTTCAAAATTAATGTGTTCATACTAAAAACCAAAGATGTTATGCCTTGGCAAAGAGGGTTATCATCTAAGAGCAATATATCACCACTTTGACAGTAAACAAAACATGTTATGTCGTTAAAAGTTATTGTTGTTGCCTTTTAGGTGGCTAAGTGTGCCATAAAGGTTGAACTTTTAAATGACAGTTACACGGAGCTGAAAGGTGAAATAGCCGGACCTCCAGACACCCCGTACGAGGGAGGAAATTTTATATTGGAAATTAAAGTACCTGAGACCTACCCCTTCAATCCGCCAAAGGTAAACTGCTCAAATAGGATGTATCAGTATTGATTGGAAATTGGTTCTAGATTTTGTAATTTTTGCTGCTGTTTTTTTTTGCTTTACCACGTAAAAAATCTGGTTGTAAAGGTCGGATGTGTAGTTTTTGAAGTGGTTGATGGTAAATATGCTAAAAATAATCCTACTTTTCTGTTGCAGTGCATTTATTAATCAGTATGAGGGGTGTTGTCCAATTTGGAGTGTTATAATGTAGTGTGTAGTCTGTTATTGATTAAATATTCAGCTAGGGGTTCTAATTCTGAACATAGATAAGGCAGGTGCAAAAAATGTTTTTCTTAAATGCCTTGTTAGTAATCCAAACCAGGTTGTTTTAAATGCAGTTTTGCTTTGGAGATAGTTTTGTATATTCGATAAAACAAGGTTAGGTGTGACATTAAAATGATATTACAGATTTAGAAACCTATAAATTCTTGATTTATATTTTATTGTTATTCACACAGAATCTAGGAGAAAAATTATAAATCAGATTGAACTTTCATACGTAGGCAAATTGCAAACGTATAGTTTGTGGATGTAACGATTTGATTTAATGTTTTTTTTTAATTTTATAGGCAATATCCGATATTTTGTTTTAGGTAAGGTTCATAACAAAAATATGGCACCCCAACATATCATCCGTGACAGGCGCCATATGTCTAGATATATTAAAAGACCAATGGTACGAGCGTTCTCTTTCTTACACTCGAACTTTGTCCTTCTAACGAACTTTGCTTTTCAGGGCCGCAGCCATGACTTTAAGGACGGTTCTCCTTTCTCTCCAGGCGCTTTTATCAGCAGCCGAGCCGGACGATCCTCAAGACGCCGTGGTGGCTAGGCAATACAAGGAGAATCTAGAAATGTTTCAGCTGACGGCAAGGCATTGGACGAACGTCTATGCAGGAGGTAAAAATGTGTGTGTGTGTGTGAAATTTTTCTGTTTTTCGTAGATTTACTTTAATTCCGTCTTGATCGTATGTTTATTTGTCGACTATCGTTGGATTAGCTTAATTCTGGTTTTAAGATGAAATAACATGCTAATAACATTTGTTTACTTTGACTCGGTTTAAATTTTTGAATCAAAATTAAATCAAACTTACCAGCATCTCGTATTACTGTCAATTTCTTCTTTTACGTTACGGAATAATTGACGATTTCAGGGTAATGGCTGCTTCGGTTCATATTGCTGCCGAAATATTCGAAATTATTTGACTAAATACAATATTACATGCAACAAACCTAAAACTTAGCTCAAGTAATAAAAATACCCAGTAGAGCAGCTGTAAGTTGATTTATTTTATGAATTTGACTTTCTTTGGGTCTTTTACATTGGTAGTGCAATAAAATGTTTCACGTACACAATATTTTATTGTGAAGCGAAGTGAAAATAATTGACGTTTTTAAAATTTAGTAAAAAATTCCATATTTTTCGGAACTTGTTTTTTTTAATTTTGACATTAAAATAGTGTAAATGGTGCGAATTTTCACTCACAATCATTAATTTTATGGAATGCGTATCAATTTCAGGTCCTCATGTAAATAGTGAATGTGATGATAAAATTAGAAGACTCGTAGACATGGGCATCGAAGACCACCAGGCCCGCGCGGCGCTCTCTTCCTATAACTGGGACCTCGAAAGGGCCACCGAACAGCTTTTTAGTTAGTAAATTGACACACGCGCTTGTTCATATATCCCGTACACACTCAGATATACTTTCACTAGTTCATTTTTGACGGAGATGGAGATGATGTTTATATACTTAACCATGAGTTTTCATACCTTTTATGTCTATTACACTGTACATAAACTATAAAATTAAATAAAACGAAGTATTTGCATTATTTTCCTTGTGCCTCATGTGGGAAAGTGTTTGAGAAATAGTAAAAACCAATTTATAATATCTCAAGAACAGCATACGCTAATAGGTCTCAAAGTTGATGCATTGTTAATGGCCACTGAGTACCAGTGACATTTGAAACATGACATGTTTTGTAGGTTATATCTAAAAGAGTGACCTACAGCAGTAGATACAAAGTAATAATTTGTGCTAGTAGGTCCACCTCCACCTGTAGGTATAAAACAATGGATTATGCCAGTAGGCATCATAAATTAAGTACAGTAGGCATTGCAAGCTGTGACATTTAAGATATGACACATACTTTGTAGGTTATGTCTCGCAGACCTGAAAATCAATCAATTTTACTGAATAATTACTACATTTTACCAGTTCACAAAATATTTCATTGTAATTGACTTGTTTGATAAAATTATGACCCTTTTTTAACGAAATTATGAAATATCATTTCATAACTTAATTTTGTGGTCGTATTGATTTTACAAAACCCGTCAAATACGCCTCTGCACTATTTCCCACAACTATTTCCCATGAACTTAGGCGTAGGTTGACCTCTATTGATTGGGGATTTTATTGTTTACAATACATTTAAAAGTGAGGTTAGTGGTGAATATCACAAAAAACCAAATAATAGAAATCCCGCAATTTTACCAATTTATGGAGTATTCGAATGCAGCTTACAGTAAGTTATCGATAAAAAACTTTCTCCTTTTAATCAGAAATACGCTGCACGATACTATTTAAAGTACTGAAAACTAAAATCCCGAATTTTTAGTTCCCGACGAAAATGCTATGGATGTGGATGCCCCTCAGCTCAGTGGCCAGAATATGACTGCCCAAGGTAACCCTACCGTATCCGTAAATGACGACAGATTCGATGTAGTAGTAGTGTCCAGTGTGGGTCTCCACGTAGAAGGCCCCATACCATTCATAAACCCTGAAATACCCGTAGAACAGCATGCTATAGTACAAATAGAATCTAATGATGTAGAGTCCAATAGCGGCGATACAGACCGCGTATCACCCGCTATATCTGTAGCCAGCAGTAGAGCACCGTCTCCTGTGGATTTGCCCGAAGAGAGCAACCAAAGCGAATGCATCAATTCAGAGAATGACGAGAAGGAGAGCAGGAAACGTTCCCTAAGCGAAGATGACGATGACGGTAGACTATGCCCTATTTGTCTGGATAACTGGACCAACACGGGCGAACACAGGATATGTGCTTTGAAATGCGGACATTTGTTTGGGTACAAGTGCGTCAATAGGTGGTTAGAGAGCCAGCAGAAGAAATCCTGCCCGACTTGTAAGAAGCGGGTGAATCGAAGCGATTTAAGATACATTTATGCAAAGAAACTGATAGCGGTCGATACTACCGAACTGGACGTAATGAAACAACTCTTGGATACAGCTGTGGAAGAAAAAAACAAAATTCTTATGGACATTTCGAAATACGCATGCAGGGAACACATGTTGAACCAAGAAATAGCACAATTAAAGAAACAAATACAGGAATTAACGAATAACAGATCGGATCTACACTCGTCTCAGTCAAACGGCGGTGGCAGCAGCAGTTTTAACCCCCTCAACTCGATCGTTAGACTTTTTATGGATAAATCTCTAGAAATCTGCAGGCAAGGCGGATGTCGTGTATTCGACGCTAACTGCCAACTGGACTTAATAATGACATCGATGAAATCCCCCAACAGCCTCTTCTCCGGCTTCGGCATCAGGAAAGTCAACATTTCCCAGTACAAACCCCTCGCTTTCATCCCACTCCACACCCTCCAAATCCGTGACATCACCTTCCACCCCGTCAATAACTGGGTGCTGACTGCGTCCATGGACAAATCTTTCAAAGTTGTGGACACCATCAGCAACAGCGTAATGTACACGACATCACAGCAAATGCCGCTATGGTCGTGCTGCTGGGACGCGGACAACCAATACGTTTTGTACATCGGCACTCAATCGGGCGTTGTCGTGAAGTATGATGTCCGTACCCTCCACCAGCCCGTTTGTACGTTGGCGGTAACGGGTGATATGTCTCCGGTGGTCTCGGTAGCTTCGATCCCGTCTAGTCCAGGCACGGATTTGGTACAAGGAGGGGTGGTTTCCTGCAAGCTTAATTCTTTATGGGTGTTTGAGAATTCCGGTAACGACCACGTACGTCACAGTCTTTCGTTGGAGGGACCGTTCGTGAGCATGAAGTACCAGAGCGAAACGAAGCAGCTGCTTGTATCGTCTCGACCTAACAATCGCATATCCTATTCGAGGCACACGCTGTGCACTCTAGAGAAGGTCAGTCCGTATAAAATGAACTGCAACGTCATCCACTCCTTCCAAGGCGGCGGGATGCAGAAATTGCTATCAAAGTCGTGCTTTCTCTCCGATAAGCACGAGTATGTCGCGGCACATCACGAATCGAGTAAAAGCGTTTATCTTTGGAGTATTAACACAGGCCAAAGGGTTTGTTCCGTACCGGCTCATGACGCAGTGCTCGACTTGCGAGGGATACAGAACCACAACGGTAATTATCTGGTTTCACTGACTGAAAAGAAAATGGAATTTTTCAAATTCAACTAGTTACAATTTTGAAGACTTAAACTATATTGCATTTATCGACAATATTTTTATATTACATTTTTTTATCCCATATTTTAAATAAATGTGAATTTCCTCCTTCTATTCTCTCAGATATTGTAATACAGGGTGTTTAGATGCTCACTCAATTTGTGCTTTACTATTCTTAAAAATCTTGATGTACATAGGAAATAAAATGATCAGTCTCAAGATTTGTGCTCATTGTTATTACTCATTGTTTCTCTATAATTTATTTTGATTTATTATATATTATGGTATTAGTAAATAAAGACGTTTAATATTTATTTATTTTTCCTCTTTTTTGACTACAACTCATTCTTTGGGGCAAACAACTAAAAAATATAATAAAACAGTAATACCGGCTTTTCAAACTGTGCATTTCATAAAACTCATATAAAATTTTCATTTATGAAAGTTAAAAACAACTTTACCTATACACAGTACTCTTCGCAGAACCCATTATAGACTACACCATTTGGGTTTAAATTTCGAAGGCATTTATCAGAAAATGGTCGTTAGTGACGTATCATTATTATTTATACTAATGGATACAAGTCAACCTTATCACCAACCAACCTTGACACGCTCTACGTCAATGTCATCTGGCGGTCAGCTGACCAAGTTTTTATGTAAATGATATAAAAGGGATATAAATACGGCACACCGGCGTTTAAAAACAAAACGCCCATTATTTGAGATTTTTTTAGGTTCGTCGTGTCGTGGCAGTTTTACACGTAAACAGCTTCGTTCCTTATTACCTAATTTCATATTTAACCGTGTTCTAAAAATGCCTTTACCAGACACACTAATAAATTTATTCAAGTAAGTATTAAACCACTTTTAAATAAATTTGAACTTATGAAAATTTATCATTTGCGTTACGGATATTTTCTTTAGGAAAATCGACGAGAATAAGGCGAAATATATAACCAATTTAAAAGATGCCGTGGCCATCCAGTCTGTCTCTGCGTGGCCCCACAAAAGGGACCAAATACGTAAAATGGTAGAATGGACTGCCGAAAGGTGCAACAACCTAGGAATCAAGACTGAAATCAAAGAACTGGGTAACCAGAAACTGCCGAATGGTACCGAGATCCCTTTACCCCCTGTACTGTTTGGGACTTTAGGTAGCGATCCCTCAAAGAAAACGATCCTTATTTATGGTCATTTAGACGTCCAGCCAGCATTAATAGAAGACGGTTGGGACTCGGAGCCCTTTGTATTGACCGAAAAGGACGGTAAATTATTTGGTAGGGGATCGTCAGACGATAAAGGCCCCGTTCTGGCTTGGTTACACACTCTCGAGGCATACAAGCAAATTGGTGTTGACTCCCCAGTAAACATAAAGTTCGTTTTTGAGGGAATGGAGGAAAGTGGGAGTGTCGGACTGGACGAACTGTTATACAAAGAAAAGAATAAGTTTCTAAGCAACATCGACTACGTTTGCATCTCTGATAATTATTGGCTGGGTACCGACATGCCTTGCGTGACGTACGGCTTGAGAGGGGTCTGCTACTTCCACATCGAAGTCGAGTGTGCAGCTAAAGACTTGCACAGCGGGGTCTTCGGAGGCACTGTGTAAGTTTAATTGTAACCGCTATCGCTTAAACTCACCGGGTATTTTCTAGGCACGAGGCTATGACGGATCTGGTCTACCTCCTCAATACCCTAGTTGACAAGGACGGGAAAATTAAAATCCCCGGCATTTACAACGAAGTGGAACCCCTGACGGACAAGGAGAAGGAAATTTACACAAAAATTCACTTTAACGTCGACTCGTACCGTTCCGACGTCGGCTGTAAAACGTTGCTGCACAAGGAGAAGAAAGAGGACCTTCTGATGCACCGTTGGAGGTATCCGTCGTTGTCTCTTCACGGGATCGAGGGAGCGTTCAGCGAGCCCGGCCAGAAGACCGTCATTCCTAGGAAGGTCATCGGGAAATTCTCGATTAGGATCGTGCCGAATCAGACGCCCAGCCTTATTGAAAAGTATGTCGTGGATCACGTGGAGAAAATATTTAGAGAGCACGGAAGTCCAAATAAACTGAAGGTATGTTGATTATTTTTTTTTTAATTTGTGTTTTTTAAATTTTTTGTTCATTATTTCTTGTACTTTTAATTTTTGTATTGACTTGTTACTTTTTTAACAAAATTTTTATAGGAATTAAAAATATATATTAATCTAAGTATCCCATATCTTAAAAATTTTCCTTAAGCTATTATTTGCTTGTGTTATCTTCCCTTAAAAGTAAATAACTTGGATTCGAACAAATCTATGTAATATTCAGTAAATAGGTAATAAAAAGATTTAGATACGTATAATCCTGCACAGAAAAACATTTTTGTCTTAAAATTTCAATCATAGACTATTTGTTACGTTTCAAATTTTATCGCTTTCTAATCCCTTTGAAATTTGTTTCATTTGAGAAAGATAATTTACATTGAATCCGATACCGAGAGATATTAAAATGCAATCAGGTAAAAAACAAGTCAAGTCCAAATAAGATAACATTGTTAAGTACGATACAGTTCATATTAAACATCTATCAGACAGTAACCTCTAGTATCAGATCTGGAATATAAATAGTGCACTTGCAGTTATCTTTGAGTGGTTGAAAAAATAACTAATTAAAAACCGGCAGCAATAAACATAGTTAATGTATCATTTTCTACATGTTATTCACCCTTCAGTATTACTTTTTTTATGTTATTCAAGAATCATATTAACTTCATCCTCCAATTTCGTAACTTTCTAACGGTACTCTGAATAAAATGTTAATTGAATGTTTTTTAATATCGTTGGAGCTAAAAAAAAGTTCAAATGCAAGGTGAACCGATGTTTTTATCAAACTTTACGCATAGGTGGCAAAAAATAATGATGTTTTGTTATACTTTGAAAATAGGTGTCGCTATTTTAATCATGTAATTTACTTGTCACATTTTTGTCCGGTGTTTGTACCAATTAAAATAATACTAATGAGCTGCCTATCAATGAAAGAAATATCTAAGTAATGTACGCAAATGTTTTTTAGTGTGATTTACTATCTTAAAATTTTTTGTTAGCGTAAATACTTAAACACAAAGGGTACTTAACAAGTCGCCTAACAAAAAACTCAATCAACACAAAAATAAATTGTCTGTTGATGGCTTCCAGCGATGAAAAACATTAGAATTCACAGTTAGATATACTGTCGCCAAATGCGGGACAACAACCGACCCCCTTAGCTTCGTCTCCGTTGACCCACACTATCTCCCTTCACATTCACTGTAGGTTGCCTACAATTCATGTATTTTGTAATACATAAATATTACAGTGGTGGGATACACAAGTATTAAACTATTTCAACAAATGTATTTTGTTTGAAAATGGTCGTGATCTTAAAAATTTTACATGTTTGTAAAGGTGTACATGGCGCATGGAGGTGCGCCCTGGAGGGAAGACCCCTTCCATCCACATTACACAGCTGCCATTAAGGCTACAAAGCACGTTTATAAGGTCGATCCCGACTTGACCCGTGAGGGTGGTTCGATACCCGTGACGTTAACGTTCCAGGAAGTTACTGGAAAAAACGTCCTTTTACTGCCGGTGGGAGCAGGAGATGACGGCGCGCACTCGCAGAATGAGAAAATTAACATTAGGAACTATATCGAAGGCGTAAGTATGGGAACCTCTAGTAGAACAATTTAAAAAATAGAGATTTATGATTTGGTTGTTGTTGATATAATGTTACAACAGATGTGTTTGTGGTGAAATATCCTTCCGTTTGATTAGATAAGAAATCATAGAAATAGTTGTTTTTTTTTTCTATTTTCGCACGTTTTGTGTAAATATCTAATAATATATTTTTTTCAGACCAAGTTATTGGGTGCATACTTATACGAAGTGTCCCAGTTGTAAGACAAAAGTGGGTAAACTTGGGGATATGTGCTTTATATTTTTTTAATACTTTATTTTTTATTATGGCTAAAATGGATTAAGGAATTATATATTATATTTTTGTTGTGTTTTAATACATTGCAATAAAAAACTTTGTCAGTATTTATTATCGTTTTAATTTTATATTCTTTTAAGAATATTTTATATGAGCCAGCCTCTAAAATTTATATATTGGATTTCTTCTACCTCTTCTGAATCATTACCCGGGTAGGTCAATTGGTTTTATCTATGGTAGGTCAATTGCACAAATATGATATAATTCATTTTGTAATATCAGTTTTATAGAAACCTTTTAACTGTATCTGTTAGATTGAAGAATAATATGTTATTTTCAGACAACAACTCAAAATATAACTAAATTGAAAGGAGACCATAACTAAACATCCTCAATTATTGTAGTAGTTCAAATGAATAGTTTCAAATTGAGGTTATGTGGTACCAAAATGTCAGATTTATTTGTATAAAAATGTATTCAAATTTCATTATCTACGTTTATTAACAGTTGTAGACAAAGGCATAAAAAAAAGCAAAATGAACGTAATAGCAGCGGTGAAAGCCTACGTCGTGAAAATGACGGAAGAAAGCGAGCCAGGAATGAAAGTTTTACTGATGGATAAGGAAACAACAAGCGTTATTAGTATGGTGTATGGCCAGTCTGAAATCCAACAGAAGGAAGTTTTTCTGCTGGAGAGGATAGATTCTCCCAATTACGCGAACTCTACCGGATTGAGATATCTCAAGTGTTTGGTATTCCTAAGACCAACACAGCAAAATGTGGAATCGCTATGCATGGAACTCCGCAATCCCAAGTATGGGGCTTACTACGTTTACTTCAGCAACATAATAGCCAAAGCGGATATAAAAGTACTAGCCGAGCATGACGAACATGAAGTTGTAAAGGAAGTGCAAGAATTGTATATGGATTACCTAGCTGTAAATCCACATTTATTTTCAATGGGCCTACCCACTTGTATGAACTCTTTAAGCTGGCAGCAAGGAGCTCTGCAAAGGACGGTACAAGGTATAATTTCAGTCCTATTGTCCTTGAAGAAATGCCCTGCGATCCGATTCCAAGCTAACTCAAGTCTGTGTAAGGATTTGGGAACGAGAATCGATGAAATAATGAGTAAAGAATCTTCTCTTTTCGCCTACGGACAAAACAGTCAACCTTTGCTGTTAATAATAGATCGTAGAGACGATCCTATTACACCTCTCTTAAATCAGTGGACTTACCAAGCTATGGTGCACGAGCTGTTAACGATTAACAATAACAGAGTAAACTTGTCCAACGTGCCAGGAGTCTCACCGGAACTGTCGGAAGTGGTATTATCAGCCGAACAGGATACGTTTTATGCCAAAAACATTTTTATGAACTATGGCGAAATAGGCACAAATATAAAACAACTCATGGACCAGTTTCAAGTGAAAGCCAAGAGTCATCAGAAGATTGAAAGTATCGCCGATATGAAGAGCTTCGTAGAGACTTATCCGCAGTTTAAAAAGCTCTCTGGGAATGTTACCAAGCATGTGACTGTTGTCGGAGAACTCAGTGCAATGGTTAATAAGTACTATTTGTTGGATGTGTCTGAAATAGAGCAAGAGATTTCCTCGCAAAACGACCATTCCTCACATTTGCAAAGCATCAAAAAGCTATTAAACAACGAGAAAGTAAGAAGCACTGACGCAGTGAAACTGGTGATGTTGTATGCTCTGAGATACCAAAACCATAGTAATAACGACCTCAACGGGCTTATAGAAACATTGAAAAAGAAAGGGGTCTCGGAACGATTACTTAGGAATATAGTTAATATACTAGAATACGCTGGCTCTCATGCACGACAAAGCGACCTGTTTAATGTGGAAAATGCTGTTAAAATCACGAAGAGGTTCATCAAAGGCTTGAGTGGGGTAGATAATGTTTACACGCAACACAAACCCCTGTTACACGAAACCTTAGAAGACTTGGTTAAGGGGCGGCTGAAAGACCATTTGTACCCTTTTATTGGAAATCATTTCACTAACGTCAGACCACAGGACATTATAATTTTCATCGTTGGTGGTGCTACCTATGAAGAATCCTTAACTGTGCACACTTTTAATAAAAATTATCCAACGTTTAATATTTTGCTAGGAGGGACGACCGTTCATAATTCTGCAAGTTTTCTCGAGGAGGTGGAGCAAGCAACTAAGAATATAACCAGGAGGCACACCAGAAACATCCGTAATATAAGATTCGATTAAACATTCCTTGAACATGTAATTCAACCATAAGTTATATCTATTTATATTTATTTTTTATCAAATTAATATATTTTATGTTAAGCTTCTGCGTCAGTTTATTTGGTTAGCATACAGATATTATTGAGCAATAAATTTACCACAGATAAAGGGTTTCATCATAAAATCGAAGGATTATTGATAAATTACAATTCTATTATCCTAACCTAACATTTTCGTATGTGTTGAAAATTTGTTGTTTAATAATTAAGTGTCTCAAAAATGATGTTAAAGTTTATTCAACAAATAAATAATACAGGCAGAGTTTGTTATTGCACTAAAAACGTGTCAAAGAATAAAATCTACAGCAGTACAGTGCTTTTACCAAAAACTAACTTCCCGTTGAGGTTAGAAAATAAAAAATTAGTTGAAAGGGACGAATATATTTACAAAGTAAGTTTTTTGGTAGGTATTTTAATTGTAGTATAACTAGTTTAAGATCTGTTTAAGGCTACGGAATTTGAAAATTTATACTCCTGGCAAAGAAGCCATTTGTACGAACCAGAATTTGTATTGCACGATGGACCTCCTTACGCAAATGGCCAGCCACATATGGGACACGCAATTAATAAAGTGAATATAGCATGACATTGCTGAATATCCCGAGCAATAATGTTTTTATTTTTAGATACTGAAAGACACGATTTTAAGATATCACATTTTGAACGGCAACAAAGTGCATTACGTACCAGGTTGGGACTGTCACGGGTTGCCGATAGAACTGAAGGCAGTTTCTAACTCAAGCGGGATGGACGCCATTGAAGTGCGATTAAAAGGTTTGTACAAGAATCTTCTTGAGCTCGATAAGTTAAAGTGGAATTTTTTTAGCGAGAAATTTTGCTAGTAAGACTGTGAAAGAACAGAGAGCGGTGTTCAAGTCATGGGGAGTTATTGGTGATTATAAAAACGCTTACATGACTTTTCGCCCGGAATATGTGAAAATACAGTTGCGGCTGTTCTATAAATTGTACAAAAAGAATCTTATTTATAGGGATATTAAACCAATTTACTGGTCATCGTCTGCAAGGTATGAAAGTTAATTGAGAGTCACAAGATATTTAATTATTAGTTTGTTAACAAACGTCTATTTTAGGACTGCTTTAGCAGAAGCCGAATTAGAATATAACGAAAGCCATAAGAGCCCCAGTGCGTATGTGAGATTTAAGGTAAAAGACATTCCAAAACTGAAAACGCTTAAAGATAAACAGTAAGTTAAGCTCGCTGTACAATTATAAGTATTAAATGTTATTTTTTAGAGTTTATGCAATAATTTGGACAACAACTCCTTGGACGTTGCCTTCGAATCAAGCTTTGTGTTACAACGAGACGTTATCGTACAGTTTAGTTAAAAAACCCGATCCCCTCGACACCGATATTTACATCATTGCAACTGATTTACTCGAAAGTGTATCTTCAGTGTTAAATTGTGACTTTCAGCTTCTAAATGTTTTATCGGGTAAGTCGGTTATGGTGCGAAAAGCACACTTAACTTTACCGATTTTATGCCTCAGGAGATTTACTGGCAGGCGCAACTTACACACATCCCATTTATCGAGAAAAGGTACTTCCGTTTTTAAATGGACCTCACGCAACCGCGACAAAGGGAACTGGTCTCGTGCACACCGCCCCGGCCCACGGTCCTGACGATTTCATAGTAGCACTGAATAATAGAATGTCAGTGGTAGGTTTTGATAAATCTAGTAGCGATTCAAATTCTCATAGAAATTTGTTAGGTGGACATGGTGAACGAGGAGGGTTGTTACAGATCAGAAGCGGGATCCGAACTTGAGGGGAAATACGTTCTGTCGGAGGGAACGGAGAAGGTGCTAGAACTTATAAAGCCCGATCTGATGAATTTAGGAGAGATAACTCACAGTTACCCATACGATTGGCGGACCAAGAAACCTGTGATAATTAAAGCTAGTCGGCAGTGGTTCATTGACACTAACGCCATTAAAGGTAGAGCGCTAGTAAGTTTATTTGTTTCGTTTATGTGCGTTACGTATATTTGATTTATAGTTTATTTATTTTGTTTGACGAGGGTTTTTTTTTTAGGAATTGTTAGAGGATGTGAAAATAGTTCCTCACGATAAAAGTGAAAAGTATAAAAAAAATCTCATGACGCAGATACAAAAGAGGCCCTATTGGTGCATTTCACGTCAGAGGAAGTGGGGGGTTCCCATTCCAGTGTTTTATAATAAAGACACTTCAGAGATAATAATAAACGAGTAAGTATTATACATCTTACCCGAGATAAAAATGGATTCGGAAACGGTAAAATATCTAGCGTCACTCAGACTAGGAAATATATAATCTACAAAGTATATGTCATGTTAAATGTCACTGTCAGTCAATGCCTACTGCCACAAAGTGTTACTTTGGATCTACTGGTAGGTTTTTCTCTGAAATATAACCTACAAAGTATGTCTGTACATACGTATCTTCCACCGTTTTCAATATACTCATCTTTATATACAGGGTGTATTCTATATTGTGCCATTTAATTATGTTTCATTTCTGCTTTAATTCAACTCGTAACACAGAATTGTTCATTTTTTCCAGAGATACGACAGACCACTTGTGCAACTTACTGGAACAACACGGTACAGACTTCTGGTGGAAACTGGACATGAAACACTTACTACCGGAAAACTTATGCTCCACGCCACCCGAACTCATAGAGAAAGGAGAAGTAAAAACACCTTGAAGCATATCATTACATGATTCACCTTCCAACATTTGCAGGACATCATGGACATATGGTTCGACAGCGGCATATCCTGGGCTGTAGCACTAGAAGGCGAAAAAGTGGCGGACCTTTACTTAGAAGGCGTCGACCAGTTCACCGGATGGTTCCAATCGTCCCTGTTGACTTCGGTTGCTCTTCGGGATAAAGCCCCTTACAAAACCGTATACGTGCATGGTTTTGCCGTCGACGAAAACGGCGTGAAAATGTCAAAATCGCTTGGGAATGTCGTCGATCCCGCGGAGATCACCGGCGGAAAGAAGGGGAAGAAACCTTACGGCGTGGACACTTTGAGGTAATAGTAAAAGACAACCCCAGTAAAATCAAACAATTTTTACTATTTCAATTATTGAAGCTGAAGCGTGTCAGTGCACGTCATAAGCGTACAAATGCTTCCATTTCTAAGTCTGACCGGTTGAAATTGTGCTGTCTTTATAGGTGGTGGGTGGCCTGCCATGCAAACCAAGCCTCTCTAGCTCACGTCAGCCCCACTGCGTTACAATCGAGCGCGGAAGAGGTTCAGAAAATCAGGAGCGTCCTCAGGTTCGCACTGGGCACTTTGGCTGATTACCAGCAGTCGGAGAACGACGGGAATAACCTTTTATTAATCGACAAGTACATGCTACATCTCTTATATCAATTTCACAAACAGGCGAGTAGACGTAGGGCTAACGTTGTTGTAAATATTACCGGTCTTCCCCGTTTTTAGGTCACGGAGGCAGCGAACGAGTACCAATTCCACAAGGTCTCACACGCGGTGATAAATCTTTTAACGAATGAAGTGTCTGCATTGTATTATATGGCGATTAAGGACCGTTTGTACTGCGACGGGGTTGACAGTACGACGAGACGTGCGGCTCAATACACTCTGACGCAAATTTTCGAGATCGTGACTCGGTCTATCGCTCCAATAGTGCCTCATTTGGCAGAAGAAATGTACCTGCATCTACCGCAGAGGGAGAAGACGTATTTCAGAAGCGCGCACGCCATACCCGCTTCGGAGTGGGAAGACGAGGGGGTGAACGGACTGATGCGGACGATTTTAAGGATCAAACGGGACGTTAACAAGGAATCGGGGACTGGTACCGCCCACGTCGATGTATCGCTTCTTTTTTCAAAAAAATTTGTCGGTTTCATGAAGGTAAGAGGCTTACGTTTACTTTTTAATCGACGAAATTGAGCTTCCGCTTATGTTTCGTTAAAAATATAAATTTTTAAACACGAATCCACTTGCGTTTCGTAAAGAACTGAAAGATGTGTTCCGACCATAGACGGGGGACAATGAAAGGTTCGATTTGACATAAAATTGTTTTAACTTCGTATTGGTGGACGATTTTAAAAAAGGGGACAAAAAAGTTAGGTTCTTAAGATCGTGAATAATTTTTTTCCGTTTCAGGATACGATATCTCTTCCTGAACTACGAACGCAGCTGACGGACATTCTGCAGGTGTCCGGCGTTTCGGTTTCTGAAGACGTCGCATTGACGGAAGACTACAAGCTCTGGACAGTGAAAAGTTCGAAAGCCCTTTGTCCGAGATGTAGGAGGGTGCAGTCAGACAAGGAGGACGAGCTGTGTAAAAGATGTTACGATGTACTTAACGCTTTGAAAGACAATAAAACGGCTGCGAGCAATTAAGAAAAACAGTATTTTATTCACAATTAACAACGAAACAAACTATAACGTTTGAACTAAGAATATTTATTTGTTAACGTTGGTTTTCGCCATCCTTTTCATTTTCATTCTTTGTTTTATCAGCTCGGACAGTCTGCGGTCCTCTCCTTCCACGCTGCTGTCGCTGTCCCAGTGACGTACCCTCTTTTCTTTGTCACTAGTGGAAGTGCTGCTCGCTTGTTCGTCTTGTATGTTCGTGTCGGCGGCCTTCCTCTTCTTTCTTAGTTTATTGGCTTTGATCTGTGCCACTTCGGCTTTTAATTTTTGTATCTCGCTGTCTAACTCTTCAATATCGATATTTTGTTGTGCAGACGTCTCTTCCGATCTATTCTTCAACTTCTCCAATTCCGCAATGAGGGAATCGGTGTCTGTTTGTAGTTTTTTATTCGTCCGTTCTCTAGTCTCGATTTCCTCGTGGCCTCGCTTTAATTTGTCTTCGAGTTCCGACGTTCGCTTATCGTAGTCCTGTTTCAACTGCCGATGACTCGTTTTGAGTTCTTCTTTTGTTTCTTCCTTTTCTTTTAATTCCGAGCTTAAATTTGGGTCCGTTTTATGTCCGGCGAGGAATTTCAAAATTTCTTGTATGGATTCTTGTTGGACCTCGATTTTGTTTTTAAGCGCACTAGTCTCCTTAAATAACAACAGTTAAATTAACATAAAACTACGTATGTTTCAACTTACTGTCTCTATTTGCTGTCTAGCATCCTCCTGCTGTTTGCATTTTTCTTTGATTTCCAAAAACAACTCTTTTCTGCAAATTAAGTTTTTATTATATTCGTCCTCCAAATCTGTTAAATTAATTTTTGTACTGTTCATTTCACTCGTGTAATCACTACATTCCTTCTCTTTATTTTTAATTTCTTCCTCGACTACTTCAATTTTCCTGGATATTACATCGATATTTAGTTGACATGTATCAATGATTGTTGTACTCTCATTAATTTCAATTTCACATTCACTAATCCTAAAAAAAAATAAGTTATCACTTGCTTTATTTATAATTTATTTCCATTTTCTTACTGCCGGTCCAAATCTAACACAGTAGCTTCACTTTCACTTTCCAATTTCGTTTTAAGTTGTTTTGCTTCCGCTAGTGATTCCAAAAATTCTTCTTTTTCGTTTTTACGGCACATAATATGTTCTTGTAAATCTTCTATCTTTTGTTGTAATATCTTTTCTTCGTAATCCAAAACTGCCGATTCACTTTTAACGCAGTGTTCCTGACGTTCTATTTCCTGCATTAATATTTTTATTTCCGCTTCTAGTTCTTCATTTTCCACAGCTAACGTTTTGGATTCCAATTCCTTTTCCCTACCGACTTCTATTTCTTCTTTTTCTAAATCCTCTAGCTTTTGTGTCAGGGCTATCTGATTTATTTTATATTTGTTAGACTTTTCCTCCATCATCTCTTCATTTCTATTCAACAATTCTTCGTTTTTGGCCAGTTCCGCCTCGTGTAAATTAAGATCCGAGTACAGTTCCTGATCGTAGCGATAAATTAGCTGGGCGAAACTTAGCAATTGCTGGTTAAACTTTTTAATATTATCTTTCAAATGCTGATTGTCTTCTAGTTCCACTAAGTTTTTATTTCTTAGTACCCTTATTTCTCTCAAATTGTCCTTTATTTGTTGATATGTGGTATTATTCTGGTTGAAACTTTCGCACAAGAGTGATACCTTTTCTTCAGACTCGTCCTGTAAAAGTAGTTTTTGTTAAAATTAACAATAATCATGTTAAATGGTGAAAATCTTACCAACATTTCCAGAACAATTCTGGTTTGGTCCAACAAATCCTTTTTTGCCATCCTTAACAGAAATAATTTATAATATCTGCCAGTCTTATTTAATATCTGTATTAATATCTCTTCGCGTAAAGGATCAAATAATTGATTTATGACACAAATTATCGTTTGTTTTCATTGCTTTGTTTTCGATTTCAAAATTTAAAAGTAGGCATTATTTCCAAGTGGTAGGCATAAAATACTGTAGGTTAAAAGTTCTTTGACGTCGAAAGTTGAGGTTAAGTGTTGTGGGCCAGGTTTTGGAATTTGAAATTGCAAATATTTTTGTAAATTACGATTGTGAGTGTAAATAAAGTGCAAATATGATTTTAAAACGAATTGGTGGTTTGATAGAGCCACTTAAAGTGATCTGTGTTCAAAATGTACAGTGCGTTGGTGCGTTTTCGTACGGTTTTGAGGTTAGATGTTGAAATAATAATAAATATGAAATATTAAACAGTTTTGTATTATAGGCCTCTCGTAGTATCTCCACCACTGGAATCAACTTGTTGGAGATTGGGGCGGAATCCGAGGGACACGACAAAAAGAATATCAGTAAAGCTATGAAGGCATACCTAGAACGTGCCCGAGAACATGATGAGTTTATGAAGAAACAAAGAGAAGAGTATCAAATTGGCAAGAGACATCTGGCAAATATGATGGGAGAAGACCCAGAGACTTTTACCCAGGGGGACGTCGATGTAAGTCGTTTAAATATGGTGAAAAAATTATCTATAATTATTATTTTAGAATGCGATAGAATATCTGTTTCCGTCCGGGCTGTTTGAAAAAAAAGCAAGGCCGTTTATGAAGCCTCCAGAAGAAGTTTTTCCACAGAGGAAAGCAGCGGAGTTCGATGAAACTGGTAGGCCCCATCATTTCCTTTTCTATACAGGCAGACCAAATTTTTATCAAGTTTTACATGTAAGAATATTACTATTACCGTTTATCCAAATTGAAATAAATATTTTGTAGGATACTGTTCAGCATATAAACGATTTGTATAAATTTGAGGACGTAATGATTAGTAAAAATCTCAGGCCTGATAAGAACTTGGAATTGTAAGTTGTTTTCAAATCGTTTGTACGTAATTTGTATTCTATCGTTGATTTTAAAGGGATTTGTCTGGATATCAGTGGATAAGCAAAACGGATTTAGAAGCTAAACTGGTCGAACGGATCGGCGACAAAGACTACGACAGTTTAATAAACGCCTTGGAAAGGTTATGTAATCTGCCGTATTCTTACAAAGCAAAGGACTTTATTCTTCAGTTCAAGAAACCTCTCATGAACCAGATACAAAACTTTGACGTTCCCAAACCAAAGTACGATTCTGAGGGAAGGGCATACATTACAACTTATGGTACGTACGAGGGAATAACTTTTACGATACATTGCTGAAACTTATTTTTTGTTTTAGAATGCAGGAGAAAGGCGGCAAAGGGCGATGTTACAGTTAGAACACCTGGTACAGGAAAAATCACGATAAACGGGCAGGGTATCACTTATTTTCAAGACGTGCAGTCTAGGGAGCAGGTAAGCAGTAAAAAACGTATATGCCTTTCGTGGCGCATGAAACTGAAAAAAATACTTCTCGGAAAATCGTTTTTTTTTGCGTCAACAATATTTCTAATCACATTTTAACCCTCAAAGGTCACACTAGTGCGAATTTGCACCGTTTTTTTTTAACAGGTGGCATTTCTCACGTAGCAGCTGCCGCGGGTACTCCCCACCACGACAATTCCTTAATAGCCCAAACAGTCGAGGCGTACCACAGTTGGCCTGCGTGGCAGTCTGTTATTGTCGGCTAAACTAGAGAGTTTGAAGAGTCAATCGGTGCGAATTGGCACTAGTATGACTCATTTTTTTCTTTTAATCTAGAAATAAAGTGAATTGAAATGCAAATTTCAGATTTTTTTTCACCTCAATTTACATGTCGAATAGATTAGAAAATTGTTTATTTAGTTATTATTAACAATTTTTGAAACTTTTTTTTTTAAAATAATAATTTAATTTTAACATGTAGGTATTTGTCAATATATATAGGGATAATATTGTTTAAATTAATATTTTTATACAAAAGAGTGCAAAATAAATATCAATTTACAGGAAACGAACCAAAAATACAACTTGCAAAAATGCCTATATTCGAGATACCGGGAAAAATCGATAATATCATTTTATCAATATAGGGTATTTTTTTCTTAAAAATGTAGACTTTGAGCTTCAAAATCCTTTTATTACTTTTTCTCTAGCCATTATTTATAAAAAAAATACGAATTTGAACAAAAAAAAAGTCATTTTTCGAAAAATGTTTTATTTAATCGCATTTTTTATTAAGAAATTATTTTTTTTTCAAAACTAATTACCTCATTCGATTTCTCGGAAAATTTTACCCCAGTTTTGATATAAATACGTTGTTTTCGTTAACAAATAAAGAAGACATATAAAAAGGTACAAAATCCCAATTCGCTTAAGTGTGACCCTTTTGTTTGTTTTCGTCGCCTTCCATGACTAGTGATATCATTTGATGTATGTGAGACCCTGCCAAGTATGTGGGCTAGGCCCTAACGAGTGGTATGACGTCATAACGTGGCTTCTGTGCGTTTTCCTGAGTTCAGTTTTCATTAATTATTTCGAGGCAAAAATTGTTGAAAAAAAATTATGATTTTTTGCTCTACGTTGTAAATTTTTCCGATATGAATTAAAAAAATGCACTAAATGAACGCAATTCAACAAAAAAACTGAACAACGCAGTAAATTTACATAAATTAATTAATTCCTTCCTGAATTTCTTTGTGTGTAAAACCCCGCGAAGCAACTTTTACAGTGTCGTGTTTTTTTGTACGGTTTTCGGTATCTGCATCCGTTCTAACAACTACGGTAAAGTTTCGGTACCGCTGACGCGGAAAAGTTGAACGCCGCTAGTCGCGGATCGGCAACAGGTGAGCGACAAACGAAAGAAAACGGCTAGAACAAGTTACAGGCGCGGGACCAACAACCGCCCGCGAAGAAGCCGCCTCCGGCACACCTGATGCAGCCCGGATAACGCGCTCGGCCATCTCTTGTTATCGCGGTTTTTATTAACCATCGCGGTCTCACGTGCTCAGGCTCGGGGAGCCCCACCACCTCGTCGACTTAAGAGAGAAGTCTTTATAGGCAATTTAATAATTTGCGTTATTCGCAGTTAGCCGTGTCCTGTGTACAATTGAGAGGAAAAAAAAGGACGATTTTTTACGGCGTTGATCGCGAAAATTCCGCGGATTCCGTAACGTGGGAAAGAGACGGATCGATCGCGATCGATCTATCGGCGTAATGTCGCTTTTGTGCCATTCGAAGTGATTTCATCTAATTGTACGATGGTATTGTGTGGGGAATAATTGACAATGAGGCCAGTTGATGCGGACTGAGGACAGTGAGCGAGGATAACTGGAATTTTTCGTGGGAAGTTGCCGACAGAAGCTTTGGTGGTGAGTACCGAACAGATTTCTTTTTTTTTTTGTAGAAGTCTTGAATAATTGGATCTGTGCTGAAACGTAAGAGGTCCACTTACAATTAGATCTTACACCAAAATAATATTTTAAAATTTAGTTCTTGTTATTTTAAATGTTTAAAATGCATCCTAAATTTGAAAGTTCGCGACACTTTCCAAAATTTCTAAAGTTTGTACATGTTCCTTAAAGTATACAGGGTGTTTCTCGGCGAACTGACAACTAAAAAGACCGGCATCGAAATTTGTGGATATACCGAGTGGTTTTTGAATTTCCCCTAAAACTTATTATTATGGTAACTTTTTTTTTTGATATACACTGTTTGCCACTGATGGTCGACAGATTTGTGAGGTCAGAATTTCAAAATTGGGAGAATTCTCATTAATTTTTGGGACACTCAGAAAAGATCAACCTGTATATTTTTCTACTATTTCAAAAAGCATGCATTTGATTTTTATCGAGTTTTGCTCAATTCTTGAATTAACAATAAAACTCTAATACACAAAGTACTTGGCTCAAATAAATTTTCAAAACATTGTTAAAAATTATGACAGTTTCTCCGTCTTTACATATCGATGTCTAACTAATTTTAAATGAAAGCACAACATCGTGGTCAAATATGTTTCAGTAAATATTTTCACAATATGTAGGTACTACAAACGCAACAAACATTATTAAATTAAAAATACTGCTGTTTCTTTTTTATATTTGTTCGAGTGACCTTCCATGTTTGTCACCAAAACATTACGGAATGAATAATTCATTAGAAAGTCAAAAACAATCAAAGCACAAGAAGCGGAAACGTTAAAAACAGTGCTATACACGAATTAATCTTGATTATTAATATTTATCTGGACGCGAATAAACAAATCGTTGAAAGTTTCAGTTGTGTAAAAAATTGGTCCTACCTCGAGGGTTAGATCGTAAAAGCTTGGCCTTCAGTTTTTTCAACTCCCATTCCGATTTTACCACTTTGAATGTTCAGCTATTAGCTGTCTTTAAAATACCTCTATAATCGCGTAAGTGGCTTAAAAATTGTCCAGCGGAAGAATCAGCCTACTTTACGCAAATGCTCTCATTAGGTTTCATTACCTTTTATTAAAAGAAGTGAGGCAGCTTCGTCGCGGATAGTACGCAAAGCACTAGAGTCGAAACATTAATGAACTATTTACATATTGAACACATCTTCAAGGCTGCGAAATGTGCTCACTAAGTCATTAATTTTAAAAACAAACGCAAAATTATGTTTTGCTCGGAATATCTGAAGCCCGGCCCTGATCATATCTAAAGAGACATGAATATTAAGTACTGGCATAGGAATTTGTTCTATTTTCATAAAATGAGTGAAGTGAGATGCCTTTTTTGAACAGTGTCAATGAACGGTTGTTGCCTCATTGCAACTTTTATTTATTGTAAATATACCGTATAAATAGCGGTATATTTTCGGCAACTAGATACCTAGTTCAAGTACCAGCTTAATCGTCAAATTACAGTTTGGCGTTTTTTTAACGAGATTTCTTGAAATGTCGTAATGTTCGATTACAACAGCGCCAAATTTTCTTTTGTTTCAAGACACAACAATTTTTTTGTAGTTTTAATTCATGACTTTATTAATTTGATTACGTTCGACCTTTTTATTTTCGAGGTTGACCCAACGAAGGTCACATTTGCTTAATAATTCTGCAGTGAATCACATCGCGATTGAATTAGGAATTTTTCGAGTCAGTCAATGAATGTGTAACATAATATCGTGTTTATAATTCGTTCGTCGAAGTTACAAGAGCATTATTAATGTAACAATTTAAGGGAGACAAGTTAAAAGTCCGTTCATATAGTTTCTTTCAAAGTACCTTTCTACTATGTATTTTTTGCGTTGCGTGACGTTTTGAAATACATATTCAAAGTTTTCAAGGGTTATTTTTGAAAAATGAAACACACTTTTTGTATGACTGATGATATAACAAAAATAGTATGTTAAACATCGTCGACATGAGGTAACAAACATTTAAAACCAATAACGTATACAAATCAAGCTACTAAGCAATTTCTTAAGGTTGTTGCGATACAATATTTTTTTTAAACAAGCACCTAAATATTTTGAAATAGTCAAGGGAACAACGTCTTTCTTGTTTTATAAATAAAGAACTTGTATCTCTCTTTTATAATCGTGTTTACAGACATTTACAATTCCTATCTAGGACCAGTAAATTTTTTTAATATTTTTCGATGGTTCTAAATTTTTGGACCCGTTTGTCGTGCCCAGACAGAGACGGCCCTGGATGTCATCTATTGAAGAAAAATGCCCAAACCACATATCAGATGGAACAGGAAATTAAATAATCAGCATAGTAGCGTTTCGAAGAAATTTAAGTCTGTGTGGCTATTTTATTGACAGGGCTTGGTTTTTTTTATTAGTTTAAGAATTTTACGCGCGAGGTACAATGCTTTTATGAGATCTTTTATTTGATCTTGAAATATCGGAATTATGGTAAATAATCTGTGGTACCGAAATTCTGGAGGATTGATGTTCATTGGTAAGGTAATAGCATTGAGTTATATGATAGTTTTCCCAAACGTGACAGCAAATTTATCATTTTTCCAATTCTCGTTTTTTAATGTAATCTTTGCGCTCGTCTATTCTAATTTTTGCAGGTCGAGGGGCCTCTCCGACATAATGTTTATTGTATTTCACAAGGTATGCTATGTATCCAATTTTTTTAATTTTGAAAATCATTATTTGCGCGCGTCTTTGACAAAAAAGTTCGTAAAGTAGGTATTAGTTGTCTGAAAACTGTTATAATTCTAAAAATATATACTCTTGCGTCAAAATCATCAGTGAAGGGTCATTTTTATGAAAATAGTTTTGTCTACCCAGTGATTTTAAATTTTTTTTGTATCACTTGAAACGGAAATTCGTTAAAACATTTTTTTAATAAACTTTCCAACAATATTTTAACAAAAAGAAAACTTCATACACTACACTCTTACACTATGCACACCCTGTACAACCATCTCCGGGTTTTTTGTTTAGTTGTTATATACACTGACGATACTTTGGTTTTTGTTTATTTTTTTACGTAGAATTTGTCCCGGTTCATAGCACAATTCGCGGCACATACCACAAAAAAACGCGTTCAACTCATCAATACCTTTTTCTGCGGTCGCTGGTGCTGTGACGTAGCCTCCCATCCTCCTGAAATTTTTCTCAAACAACCGACGACGCGAAGGTTAACAGAAAGATGATGAATACTTTCCTGAAGTCGTTATCCACTTAAACCATTAACTAATGCCTATTAATTCGCTCGACCCCGGATTGAATTTGTCTCGAAACCAGAATTGTCGTAATTAGATGATACCCTGGTGTTTTGAGCTGTAGTATGCGTGACGATACGGTTTGATCGACCATAATATAGAAATGGATACGTTAGTGGTTTTCTCTAATCTCATTTTCCGTGTGGTTTGTTTACAAATCCGCATAGTGAAACTCTTATTAATGCCCCATTAAAGAGGTGTCTCTTAAGGTGAAATCAGTTCCAGCGGAAACGTGTGCAAGAGAAATTGATTTGATTTGGAATATTTCTTTGAATCCGCATGTAAAATTCGCTTTTGGCAACACTTGAATACAGTCTAGTTCACTAAAAATGTTAAATATACTTAGAACCGCTTGAAAGAGAAACACCGTTCGTGAAAATAACAAACCAGCATAAATACGTCAAACCGTCACGCCATTACAGAAAATATTAAAACTGCCCAATAGTAACGTTTAAAGGATGAAGGAGCAAGCCATAGATTAAACAAAAACAATGTTTCTTCATTCATTTTCACCATTAGTTCAAGTAAAATTAAACGAATAAAACATTAAATTTTTGGGACATCCTATATATGTACCTACGTAACAAAAATGTAGGCAATAAGTGAACGGTAGCTGAAAACCCGATTCGCGAAAAGGAACAAAACATACTATTAAATTAGTTATGCACTTTATTAAACTCGTTTTAATCCGAACTGGTTTAGAGTTTCCTGAATGCCGATCGACTTGATTTTTTTAATAGAATTTTTTCAGAATATTAAAATGCAAAACTAAGTACTTCCACACCTTGCATTCACGTACGTTTGAGACTTCTGGAATTCGAGATTTCTAACGCTTTCTCTGAAACAAACAGGCGCTGGAAACCGATCTTTGTATCTCCATTTGTACTTGGTTTGTTATTGTATTATTACAATGGTGCATAATTAAGGTTTTAATTGATAAAATTATACTTTTTCCAAGGTAAAACAGCGAGGACCAATTATAATACACATATTAACTATGTAGAGTAAACGGTATAGTATGCGTTGTGAGTTTATATCGAATATATGTCTGTATATTGAATTTTTTTTATTGTGTTAACGATTACGAAGCTATAACAATAAGTAGTGACATAAAAATTAGTAAAACAAATACGTTTTGTAGATGTACTTAAGACGTACGTACTTGTTTATTATATTTTGTGTTAATTACAACAAAAAATTAACGCTAATCAAAGCCTCGATGTTATTTTTTTTATATTTATATAAATATGAATTTCTCTCATACCCAGTCCCATCATCAGGATTTCCCTAAATTTTTTAGTAGTTTTATCGGATTAAATTTATTACCTACCGAAAAGTATAAGAATAATGTTTACCCAAACCACGTTAACATGTAAATTAAGTAATTATCTTTCAAGTTTATTACATTTTACCTCTGCGATCCGTTAAACCGTGAAATTAAATTAATTCCTTTGTACGGCGTGGTCAGCAGGGAACTATGTATGTATTTAACTTTCATTTTATTGTAATGCGTCGTGTTTCCTGTTTGTTACAGCGTCGCGTACATTGGTGACGATGTTGAGGCTGTTTTAGATTTGGCGTGAAGAATAGCGCGTTTCACACGGATGGGATTAATTCGCAGGTTTCATTAAATTACAAATAAAAAATGTGACTTATCAGCTATACATACAGGGTGGGCCATTAGTATAAGAAAGTAAAATAACTCCCTTGTTATTCATAATACAGAAAAAAAGTTTATAAAAAAGTTGTACAGAATCAGAAACATAAAGGACAAAATTAATTTGAAACGTACAGGGCGATTAGGGAAAACGGGACACGCCATTACAGTTTTTAAATGGAACATCCTGTATATTTTTAAACATATGGATTTCTGAGAAAATTCTATATATGGCAATATAAACAGTTTAACATTTTAGTGCGTGGTTGCCAAGTTATGTAGAAAATTCTTGGAATTTTGGAAAAAACATGACCTCGAAGAAGTTGTATTAACTTTCAACTACTAACATTTGGAGCAAAAATATTTGACAGAGTTATAGGCAAATGTTAGGCAAAGACTCCTATATTAGATAATATCGATATTTTATACAGGGCATTTTTTATAATTCGATCACTTTTAGAAAGTTCAAACTTAATTTTCTAAATTTTTTCAAATCTATTTTATTCGCATATCAGTCTACTTCAACTTTTATTAAGTCTGTTCTACACCTAAAGTTAGTTTTTAAGATATAGCAACATTTCTGGAAAATCCTAATTTTTATTATTTTCGTTCGCACGAAATGGCTTTGGAAAAAACTGCCACATTGTGTCAACTCGCCAGTTCATAATTTATCATTCCATTTTCAGTTGATTTTATTATTTAATATTTATTTGTGTGTGGTATTCTATAAAATAATAAAAATTAAGTTTTTTCAGAAATGTTGCTATATCTTAAAAACTAACAATTTTAGGTGTAGAACATGCTTGATAAAAGTTGAAGTGGACCGATATGTGAATAAAATAGAACAATAAAATACAGGGTGTTACATTTGAAAAATTTTAGAAAATCAAGTATTAGCTAATATTTTGTCTAACATTTGCCTATAACTCTAATTATTTTGTCCCAAGTGTTAGTAGCTGAAAGTTAATAACAACTTCTTCGATGTTATGTTTTTTTCAAAATTCGAAGAATTTTCTACATAACTTGGCAACCCTGCACTAAAATGATAAACTGTTTATATTGCCATATATAGAATTGTCTCAGAAATCCATATATTTAAAAATATACAGTGTGTTCCATTTAATAAATGTAATTTTTGGCGTGTTCTGTCTTTACTCATCGCCCTGTATGTTTCAAATTAATTTTGTAGCTTAGGTTCCCTGATTCTGTACAACTTTTACATAAACTTTTTTTCTGTATTATGAGTAACAAGGGAGTTATTTTACTTTCTCACACTAATGGCCCACCCTGTTTATTAACGAAGATTATTACTTACAATGATTTGCTTTTGGTGGGCTACAATTTTTGCAAACATTAACAGTCTCTAAGCGAGGAAAATTTGTTAAGATGCTAAGGTCTTGCAATTTTTTTTTGATGCTAGATGTTGTATACCTTTTTTCAACATTTACGGACGATTTATATTGTCAATTTGTTTTTAATGGAAAACTTTTCTGTCTCGGATAATCGACGTCATTTTAGTAATGTTTACAGTGAATTAAATGCTAAAATTAAGGATTATGCATATCTAAGCAGCAGAAATCTTTTAAATTAAGCAATAAAAACGTAATTAAATTTTGGTTTTTTTGCTTATCAGCAAGATCATAACTTATTTGATGAGTTATATTCATTTATGTCAATGATAGTAGTAAATATTCCAAATTAAAATCTATATACGAACATTCAATAATATAATTTTAAAAACTCAAAAAATAAATAAAACTGCTTACTAATCTGGTAGATTTGAAATATTTTTTAAAATCCTTTCAAGTTTTTAATAAAAAATGTTTGTTACTATTTTCTGAAAGCACTGCGTTTAGTTTGTGAATGTCAGTGTCGATGGCCACTGACATTGAACTAATTTAGGTGAATCACCTAATACCTCTGACGTGATTTGACAACAAACAAAAAACAAACGGTCAACGTTAATTTAATGAAGTATTAGTCTTTGACCTTCATTGTTAAATGTTCTGTGCGAGATTATGGAAAGACGTAGCACGCGTGGTTATTTCAGGTTACATTGACTTGTTCAGCGGCGGGGTATGAAAATTACGAAAAAAAATCAATGGAAAGAAATTTTACGATGGAATTTGACAAAAACTGGTATATTTCTAGAGATCAAAGTTAACCTTCGTATAAATATGAGCCCCCAGAAAAATTACGTTATGTCTACCAATCTAACTTGGTTAATTTCTTGGTAAATTTATGGGTTCTTAATTTGGTAAAACGCGAATTAATTTTGCATTTGTAATTTAACAGCAACGTCATTGTTTTCATTAAAATCTCTATCCCTTCCAGGTAAATGGTTTCGGCGTCGGAAAACCACAAGTCCTTCGGGATGGACAACCTGGGCTTCCAGGACCCCACCGCGAAGCGCAAGCTGGGCCGTTCCGTCAGCGTCAACGCCCAAGTGGAAACCGTCCCGCACTACAGGAACCAGAACTCCAACACCCTCCTGCGATGGCGGCGCACCGTACGCGAGGACCCCGAGGTCATGCTGGAGGAGGAACTGCCCTCCGACGAGTACGAGTACATGGAGTGCGGACCCTCGCCGCCCGCCGACCACACCCCCAACATTTACGAGAGCTTCGAGGAGTTCTCCACCAGCGAGCTGACGGTGCAGATCTGCCACGACACCATCAAGATGAACCTGTTGGAGCACATGAAGGTGTCCTCGGGACGGCACCAGCTCCTGGACGACATAGAAGGCAAGAAAACGACGCCCTCGAACCTGGAGGACGTCTTTTGCGGGGCCTCGAAGGTGGAGGTGAATATAGCGCTGCTGTGGGCGTCGTTCATGAAGCGGTGGGAGCTGTTGGAGGGACTCATCGGGTTGGGGGCGCAGTTGCGCTACCACGAGCCCAGCCAAGGTCTGAGTGCTTTGCACTTGACGGCTTTTAGCGGGTGCATCCAAGGCACCCAGTTCTTGATCGCGCGAGGTTGCGATGTCAACGCTATATATAAGTGTTACACCCCTTTGCACTGCGCGGCGTTTGGCGACAGCCCAGACACCGCTATAATACTCCTTAATAACGGCGCTAGGGTGCAGGCCCTGACGAATAGTCCGCACAACTGCCACGAGAGTGTGCTGCATTGCGCGGTCCGCGCCAACGCCATCGCCTGCGTCAGACTGTTCACGCACGAAGGTGCCGACGTTGGACAGATGGAATTCTCGGGAATGACCCCCATACACCTGGCTGCGGACTTGGGACACGGCCAGTGCCTTAAAATACTCTTAGAAGCGAAAGGCATCAACGTCAACGCCAGGACCAATGAAAAAGAACAGACCCCCCTACATTTAGCCGCGGAGAGCGGCTACATGGACTGCGTGGAGATTTTACTGGAGAAGGGGGCGGAAGCCAACATCAGGAACCACAGGGCGCAGACACCGTTGCATCTCGCCGCGAGAGCGCAGGCGTACGATTGCGTCGAGTTGCTATTGAGGAAAGCCAACGCGGACCCGAATATCGGGGATTGCGACAAGAGGACGCCTCTACATGCCGCCGTGTGTAAAGCGGCGCGTTCCTACGACATCATAGAGATCCTGGTGAGCTACGGAGGCGACGTCAACGCGAAGGACCAGTACGGCTATAGCCCTCTTCATATCGCGGCGCTCAACGAGTTGTCGCAGTGCGTGGAGGTCCTGATCTATCACGGCGCCGACGTCACTGCTAAATCCAAATTCGGCATGACTGCCTTGGGTATCATCACCAGGAAAACGCCAGCTTCCTTGGCTATGGTCACGCAGAAGCTCGATTCCGCCATCACGCTGCATCACCACCCCGAGTCTTCCAATCGAGAAGTCGAACTCAGGCTAGATTTCCGGGGGATCCTCCAGTACTGCCACCCTCGCGAGATTAGCTTCCTGAACACCTTCGTAGACGAGGGACAGAAGGAAATCCTCCTTCACCCTCTCTGTTCGGCGTTTCTCTACCTCAAATGGGAGAAGATCCGGAAGTACTACATCGCCCGCATGCTGTTCTGCTTCATCTTCGTGCTAAGCCTCTCCTTGTACGTGTTAACGGCGCTCGCCCACAATTGCTACAACCACGGCAAGAACATGAACGACACCCAGCCGCAAAACGTCATCGAGCTGTGCGAAAAGAAGTCCATGATGGGGCATATGCTCAGGAACAACCCCTTCGTCATCGAGATGCAGTGGTTTGCCTTGGTGGGCATAACCTGTTGCGAGATATTGAGGAAGGTGTATGGCATAGCTGGATACCCCACTGTGAAACAGTATCTGTCCCACCCGGAGAATATCATCGAGTGGACGGTCATCGCGAGCGTCTTCGTCATCTCCTTCATCTACACCGGCAGGACTTACACGTGGCAGAACCACGTGGGGGCGTTCGCGGTGCTCTTCGGTTGGACCAATTTAATGTTGATGGTTGGACAGCTCCCGGTTTTCGGTTCCTACGTGGCGATGTACACCCGCGTCCAGGGGGAGTTCGCGAAGCTCCTTCTGGCTTATTCCTGCTTACTCATCGGTTTCACCATAAGTTTCTGCGTGATCTTCCCGGATTCCTCAACTNATAGTAGTAAATATTTCAAATTAATATTTACATACGAAAATTCAATAATAATATATATATAATTTGAAAAACTCAAAAAATAAATGAATTTGCTTACTAATCTGGTAGATTTGAAATATTTTTTAAAATCCTTTCAAGTTTTTAATAAAAAGTGTTTGTTACTATTTTCTGAAAGCACTGCGCTTAGTTTGTGAATGCCAATGTCGATGGCCACTGGCATTGACCTAATTTAGGTGAATCACCTAATACATACACATCTGACGTGATATGACAAACAAAAAACAAACGGCCAACGTGAATTTAATGAAGTATTAGTCTTTGGCCTTCATTGTTAAATGTTCTGTGTGAAACTATGAAAAGACGTAGCACGCGTGGTTATTTCAGGTTACTTTGACTTGTTCAGCGGCGGGGTATGAAAATTACGAAAAAAAAAATCGATGGAAAGAAATTTTACAATGGAATTTGAGAAATACTATTATGTGTTTCTAACGATCAAAGTTAGCCTCCGTATAAATATGACCTCCAAAAAAAAATACGTTATTTCTACCAATATAACTGTTAATTTCTTGGTAATTTTATTGGGTCTTAAATTGGTAAAATGTGAATTAATTTTACAGATCCTGTTGTATTTTTGTAATAGTTCTTATACACTTATTCCTTTGTTATTTAACAACAACGTCATTGTTTTCATTAAAAGCTCTATCCCCTTCCAGGTAAATGGTTTCGGCGTCGGAAAACCACAAGTCCTTCGGGATGGACAACCTGGGCTTCCAGGACCCCACCGCGAAGCGCAAGCTGGGCCGTTCCGTCAGCGTCAACGCCCAAGTGGAAACCGTCCCGCACTACAGGAACCAGAACTCCAACACCCTCCTGCGATGGCGGCGCACCGTACGCGAGGACCCCGAGGTCATGCTGGAGGAGGAACTGCCCTCCGACGAGTACGAGTACATGGAGTGCGGACCCTCGCCGCCCGCCGACCACACCCCCAACATTTACGAGAGCTTCGAGGAGTTCTCCACCAGCGAGCTGACGGTGCAGATCTGCCACGACACCATCAAGATGAACCTGTTGGAGCACATGAAGGTGTCCTCGGGACGGCACCAGCTCCTGGACGACATAGAAGGCAAGAAAACGACGCCCTCGAACCTGGAGGACGTCTTTTGCGGGGCCTCGAAGGTGGAGGTGAATATAGCGCTGCTGTGGGCGTCGTTCATGAAGCGGTGGGAGCTGTTGGAGGGACTCATCGGGTTGGGGGCGCAGTTGCGCTACCACGAGCCCAGCCAAGGTCTGAGTGCTTTGCACTTGACGGCTTTTAGCGGGTGCATCCAAGGCACCCAGTTCTTGATCGCGCGAGGTTGCGATGTCAACGCTATATATAAGTGTTACACCCCTTTGCACTGCGCGGCGTTTGGCGACAGCCCAGACACCGCTATAATACTCCTTAATAACGGCGCTAGGGTGCAGGCCCTGACGAATAGTCCGCACAACTGCCACGAGAGTGTGCTGCATTGCGCGGTCCGCGCCAACGCCATCGCCTGCGTCAGACTGTTCACGCACGAAGGTGCCGACGTTGGACAGATGGAATTCTCGGGAATGACCCCCATACACCTGGCTGCGGACTTGGGACACGGCCAGTGCCTTAAAATACTCTTAGAAGCGAAAGGCATCAACGTCAACGCCAGGACCAATGAAAAAGAACAGACCCCCCTACATTTAGCCGCGGAGAGCGGCTACATGGACTGCGTGGAGATTTTACTGGAGAAGGGGGCGGAAGCCAACATCAGGAACCACAGGGCGCAGACACCGTTGCATCTCGCCGCGAGAGCGCAGGCGTACGATTGCGTCGAGTTGCTATTGAGGAAAGCCAACGCGGACCCGAATATCGGGGATTGCGACAAGAGGACGCCTCTACATGCCGCCGTGTGTAAAGCGGCGCGTTCCTACGACATCATAGAGATCCTGGTGAGCTACGGAGGCGACGTCAACGCGAAGGACCAGTACGGCTATAGCCCTCTTCATATCGCGGCGCTCAACGAGTTGTCGCAGTGCGTGGAGGTCCTGATCTATCACGGCGCCGACGTCACTGCTAAATCCAAATTCGGCATGACTGCCTTGGGTATCATCACCAGGAAAACGCCAGCTTCCTTGGCTATGGTCACGCAGAAGCTCGATTCCGCCATCACGCTGCATCACCACCCCGAGTCTTCCAATCGAGAAGTCGAACTCAGGCTAGATTTCCGGGGGATCCTCCAGTACTGCCACCCTCGCGAGATTAGCTTCCTGAACACCTTCGTAGACGAGGGACAGAAGGAAATCCTCCTTCACCCTCTCTGTTCGGCGTTTCTCTACCTCAAATGGGAGAAGATCCGGAAGTACTACATCGCCCGCATGCTGTTCTGCTTCATCTTCGTGCTAAGCCTCTCCTTGTACGTGTTAACGGCGCTCGCCCACAATTGCTACAACCACGGCAAGAACATGAACGACACCCAGCCGCAAAACGTCATCGAGCTGTGCGAAAAGAAGTCCATGATGGGGCATATGCTCAGGAACAACCCCTTCGTCATCGAGATGCAGTGGTTTGCCTTGGTGGGCATAACCTGTTGCGAGATATTGAGGAAGGTGTATGGCATAGCTGGATACCCCACTGTGAAACAGTATCTGTCCCACCCGGAGAATATCATCGAGTGGACGGTCATCGCGAGCGTCTTCGTCATCTCCTTCATCTACACCGGCAGGACTTACACGTGGCAGAACCACGTGGGGGCGTTCGCGGTGCTCTTCGGTTGGACCAATTTAATGTTGATGGTTGGACAGCTCCCGGTTTTCGGTTCCTACGTGGCGATGTACACCCGCGTCCAGGGGGAGTTCGCGAAGCTCCTTCTGGCTTATTCCTGCTTACTCATCGGTTTCACCATAAGTTTCTGCGTGATCTTCCCGGATTCCTCCACTTTCGCGAATCCCTTCATCGGTTTAATCACGGTTCTGGTGATGATGACCGGCGAGTTGAGCCTGGACCTGCTCGTAGACGACGATCCCGAAGACCCGCCGTTTCTCCTCGAAGTCAGCGCGCAAGTCACTTACATCCTGTTTCTCTTGTTCGTAACGGTGATCCTGATGAATCTCCTGGTTGGCATCGCCGTCCACGACATCCAAGGCCTGCAGAAGACCGCGGGTCTTTCCAAGTTGGTGCGCCAGACCAAACTGATATCCTACATGGAGCTGGCCCTGTTCAACGGATACCTCCCGCAGTACCTCCTGAACTTACTGCACTGGACCGCTCTGGTGTCCCCCAAGGCGTACAGGGTGGTGCTGAACGTGAAGCCGTTGAACCCTAGAGAGAAGCGGCTGCCCAGGGACATCCTCAAGGCAGCTCACGAGATCGCCAAGAGGCGGAAACACTTCGGTCAGACGATTTCCTCGCAGGGCAGCGCGGCGACGTATTCCAAGAAGTTGAACAACAACCCGGATCAGAACAGCGAGATCTTGGAGTATACCAACGCGCTGCCGCTGCTACAGACCAAGATAGAGAAGAGTACGGAGCAGATCGAGCACCTCAGCAAGGAGATCAGGGAACTGAAGAGCGCCTTCGACGCCAGCCAAAAGACTATCGAGCAGTTGTTGAATACCCTCTTGCAGACCAGACATAGTAGTAAATGCTGATTAGACTGTGATCCTATGTAGAATTTTTTTATCTACACATATTTTAGAGTTTTATACTAAGACAGGTGCTAGTAATACTCCCTCGTAGCCGTTTCGATGAATTGATATCTATTCGAGATGATAGTCGCTTGTTCACTTTAGGTCTATCGTTTCTCCCTCCCTCCTATTGGTAAACTCATCAAGTCGTTGCCATTGAAAAGTGTGATATTAGTTTTATAGTGAAATCGTCAATTCCACTGATTATGTGACGTAGGTTTTAGGTTTTCAACAAAATAGTTACATTGTTACACTGTTGCTTATAATTTATGTTATCCATCTGTTATACATTAATAAAATGCTTAATTCGTTGTCGGTTTTTGTGTCATTTCCTTTTTTTTTTTTGTGGAAGATAGGACAGAAAAAAATTTAAAATAAAAAACACTAGGGTGGCCCAAAAAAAACGAATTTTTTTTTCGTGTCTTGTGAAAATATGAGTTTATCATGTTTTAAAAGCCCCCTCAAAAAATCAGCTCTAAATTTTTTTTTTTTGAGGTCACTCAAGATTTTTAAAAATTTCCAAAATCGTAAAAATTTAATTTTTTTTTAAATTTTTGTTCTCGTTATTTTATCATTTTCAAAGTTGAAAAAATCTCGATTCTAAAAATTTCAAATCGATATTTTACTCATAATTATTTTAACTTTAAAAGTAGTGTACAGGGTGATTCACTATATTTTGACCCCCCCCTTTAACTTTTTTGTTTTAAGAATGATTAAAAAATGTAAATCGCGATTTTTTATGAATTTTCGAAAATGACATTTGAAAAACAAATGAAGCCCAAACAAAATGGCCGCGGATATTAACTTTGTTAATTTAAATGGAACACCCTGTATATTTTTACATATTTGGATAGAACGTTCTATGTTGAGCATAGTCATATGGGGTTTGTTGGATGCATCTCTAACAATAAGCGAGATAGTATTAAAAAAGGAAAGAAGGTTTTTTATTAAGAAAATAAGACGTCTTTTAATTCTCTAATGTAATATCTTGTAAGACCTCTTTCAGGCATTTCAGGCATTCTATCCAAATATTTAAAAATATACAGGGTGTTCCATTTAAATTAACAAAGTTAACATCCGCGGCCATTTTGTTTGGGCTTCATTTGTTTTTCAAATGTCATTTTCGCAAAATTCATAAAAAATCTTGGAACTTTTGTATTTTACATTTTTTTATAACTCTTAAAACAAAAAAGTTAATGGGGAGGATCAAAAAATAGTGAATCACCCTGTACCTAAAATGTTTTCGAGCAACCTCTAAAAATAAATATCAACGAACCGATAATTTTTTTTATTGAATTTGATGAACAAAAGAATAGAAATAAATCACGAGACAAAAAATTTCAAAAAAGGGCAAAATTTATAATTTTTTAATTTTTTTAAAATTCAAGTGTGATTTATTTATATTCTTTTGTTCATCAAATTCAACAAAAAAAAATAAATTAGTTCGTTGATATTTATTTTTTAGAGGTCGCTCGAAAACATAGGTGCACTACTTTGAAAATTAAAATAATTATGAGTGACCTTTAGAAATTAAAATATCGATTTGAAATTTTTAGAATCAAGAATTTTTTCAAACTAGAAAATGATAAAATAATGAGAAAAAAATTTAAAAAAAAAATAAATTTTTGACGATTTTGGTTTTTAAAAATCTTGAGCGACATCTAAAAAAAATTTTGTTTTGAGCTGATTATTTGAGGGGGCTCTTAAAACATGATAACTAACATATTTGTTTATATAAGATACACGAAAAAAAAATCGTTTTTTTTTGGGCCACCCTAATAAACACGACAGACAACTAAAACCCTGTAGCCATAATTGTGTTTATTGTAGCTGCTCTTCCCTTTGATATTCACAAACATGCAGAATAAAGTCGACATAGAATGTAACGTAGCGGATGGTGGCTATTCAGGACAAGCTGGAGCCATAAGATGGGGTATAGCGTGGGGATTGAGGAGTTTTGTCGATCAGGAGACCATTGAAAAGATGAGATTAGGTGAGTGAGTATAGTAACTACAAAACGTTTTTTTTTTATTCGAAAGTTTTCCTAAACTTCTACTTCTTCATGCCGTGACACTAAAACGTGTTATCAGGAATTTATGAAATAATAAAAATATATATAAATAAATATTAATATATGGAATTAAATGTTTTTTATATTAAAAGATTACGGAACAGTATAAGCTGCATAAGTAATCATACACTTCGTACAATATTTATTGAGATAGAATTCAAATAAAAAAATAAGCCAATAAAGTTCTGTTATCGGAACTACTGTAACAATTTACCATGGCCTTGAAATTTTCCGCTTTATTTTCAGAATATTAAAATTTTAAAAAAATCAAAATTTTGGAAATCCGTTGTGTTTCATTTCAGCCTTGTTTAGAGTATACGATAATTCAATAAACAGAAATCTAAATAAAAAATTTAGATAAAGGAACGAATGCATTGAAGATGAATTTTTCGAGACAAAACGTCTGAATCTGGTTCAGGCTGAGGCAGTACAGTATTGGGGGTCATGAAGGCTTGCAAAAATTGTAATAAAATTTCCAGGGTCATATTTAAAAAAAAATAAATTGATGATGGTCCTGGAGAGACAAAACGTTACATATAAAAATTGATTATGCCATTCGATAGGGGGCAAAAAATTGCCATGAGAAAGTGTTCTTCTTTTTTCAATATCACCTCAAACAAGGCAGAAATGAAACAAAAACGGATTTCCAAAATTTCGTTTTTTTTCAAATATTTCCAAAACTAATCATGTTAGCCTTGATTTTTTTTAGAGGCATAACGTTGGTCCCCTGATATGCAAATCTGCCCCTATTTAAGCTACTTCGTACCTCCTACCGTTTCCGAGATTCCCGTAGCGAGAAGTGAACTTGCAACACCCTGTATAAGGTAAATATACAGGGTGTTACAAACTAGTAGGCCAACCCGTTAACCTCATATTATTTGGACTGAAATAATGGAACTCTTCTTATGTCACTTTTCATTTCGGAGCCCCATTTTTAAAATACAGGGTGTCAAAATTAAAATTCAAAATATGATTTTTATTGATAACTTTTTCACTCTTGTAGGATTTTTATTTGGGGCCTCGTTTACGAGACATTGTAACTTTTTTGAATACGCAACATTCTTCGTTTGAATTTTAAAATATTGTCCAATTTAATGGTTATAAGTCAAATTTACTCGAATTTTGACATTTGTATGCCGTCAAAATCCAGTGGGCATCGCGATTGACACGCTTTGGTCTTACAAATTATGTCTTTGTTATTATTTATTGGGTGTTTTACTTTCCTTGTTCGATTAACAAATCTCTTTTTGTGGTACATGTTTTACGATCTGACTGCGGGAATTACACAACTCTTGAAGTGATCGTTGATTTTATACGCTTCAATGAAGTAATTTTGAATACAAAGTAGGAAACGCACCAAAATTTAAGTTTTTAAAATACGAGAGTATATTTTTTGTATAAAGTGAATTCTTTGTATCGTAATAATTTCTCTTTGTTACTTAGCTGGTCTTCTGACGAAGGACGTCCGTACCAGAGAAAGGAAGAAGCCCGGGCAACAAGGTGCTCGACGTAAGTTCACTTGGAAGAAACGTTAAATATTTTTGTACGTGTGCAGTTCAATAAAAAATGAATCAATATGTTACAATTTTATTTCGGAGACTAGCTTTGAACGATTTAAGAAGTTTCCGGCATAAAATCACAAAAACGTAACTAAAAACCAATATATATGTAAAGTTCTATATTCGTTTATAAAAATATTAAGTATCACATTTCATCTAACGGTTGAAGACCTAAAATAATCATCCCGTTCTTTAATACTTCCCTGGCAGTGTTGAACAAGAGCAGTCTCTGCGATGCGACGTCTGAGCCCATCCCCTTGACTTGCAGAGTCTTTAAAGCTTTGTTTATGTGATTACTACAAACAAAATCAATAAAAAAAAAAACTATAACAAAAAAAAAACACGAAAGGAACGAAAAATACGAGAAATATTACTCACCACAAGTGAAACAGGTAAATGCACAAAATATGGGCCTCCAGCTGTTCGTTGGACCTGTGCAGCACGTCGTGGAACTTCGCCAGTTCCTTCAGCATAACCACCACTTCCGGTTCGTCCAACATTTGAGGAACGCACTCCCTGGCCGCCACCGCCCCCGAGTTCCTCTCCAAGCTGCAGAGCCGGCAGTGGGTGTACTGCAGTCTCACGCCCGTGTCACCCTGAACCTGCAGAGAGCTGTTAGTAGGTTTTCTTAACGCGCAATTCTCACACCGACGATTATGTAAAATTCTCGTAAACGACTTACTTGCAGGACCCTGTCCCAATCGAAATCGTAATCTTTCTGTCTCCGCTGTTTGAGATCGTTCACTATGACGCATGAAACTCCCAAGATATCTGCCGTTTTCCCGTCGTTGATGGGCACTTTTGTAGCTGTAGATTAAAAATGTGCAAGATATTACAAAAAATCAAATATTTTTCAAAAAAGTTGCCCGTTAGAACTCGTTTTGAATTAATTACTGGCGAAGAGTGACCTACTAATCCACAGGCACTTTAAAAACATGACTCCGGAAAAAAGTATATCGAATTTTAGTTTAATATGAAAATTTTACTAACTTGGAGATTCCAACTGTTTCTTAACCATGATGTCCCTGCACTCGTCCAGAATGTCCTTCAAAAAAACCGCAGTGCCTTTCCTAGTGCTCATCCCGCGAATCCTACCGAACTTAACGTGTGTCAACCTGTGCGCCCACGGCATGTCCATCTTATTCAGTATATCCTTCAACGCGTGAAAATGATCGTTCTGTCCGTTTTCGACGACGTAATACATTCGATCGAAATTGTACTTTTTAAATCTATCGATAGCGGCCGCTATATCCCTTGTCAAGTACAGAGTCGTATTATCGCTTTTAACTACAGAAACTTTTCGGTCGTTCACCATCGCCACCTCCTTGCCGTCCTTTTCCTTGCGTATGACGTTTTTCCTACGTAGTATTTCTAAAATACCGTGGATTTCCTTCGCGCTGTAGTCAGATTCGTAGTTGTACTCGTCGAAAACAACGCCTAGCCTAGAGTACGTCTGTTGAAGTTCGTTTTTTGTGTAAGACATGTACTCTCTCCAATGCCGTAAGTCTTCTTCGGAACCGTTTTCCAATTTCGTGAATTCAGTCTTCGCTTTTTCTAATACACTGGGATCATTTTCAGCTAATTTGTTGGCGTGGACGTAGCATTGATATAGTAATTTTACGGGATCCTTTTGAATATCCTCGGAAGTGTATCGCAAATCCTGGACACCTACCTTTATCAAGCCAAACTGCGTTCCCCAATCCCCGAGATAATTCAAACGTGTCACTTTGTTTCTTAAGAATAAGTTGAGGTTGCTGATAAAATTTCCTATAATTGTTGATCGGAGATGACCGAAATGAAACGGCTTTGCTATATTCGGAGAACTGTAGTCCACTACTAGTTTCTTTGGTTTGAAATTTAAGTCGGGTTGTGCACAATTTTCTAGAACGTCTTTTATGAACATTCCCTTGTCAATCTCAAAGGAGATCTTCCTATTCGCACGATCTTTTATCAAGTGAATTTTTTTAATTATGTCATCCGGCTGGATTTTTAAAATTTCTGTAATGTTTGTTACGCCAAGTTCTGTTTCTAAGAAATTCAAAGGTAAATTCAATTCAATTTTTTGGCTATCTTTGCTGTTATCTATTTGTATCAGAGATTGCAACTCAGAGGGAGAATATTTTGTTGATTTATGCAGAGAATCGATTACCTGGAAAATGTAATTGTGATATTTGATGTTATATAATAATTGTATACTACCTTCCTTCCTAAATACAACTTTAACTTTGTTGACATATCTGTCTAATGAGAAATAGTGTACAATTTTGTTGTTGATTTAAATTTTAACATTAATTTTACTTAATTTCAAAGTTTGAGGTTACATTTTCAGTTTTCACAGAAAGTTTACTTACTTATCTGCCCGTCAAGAGACAGTGTTACTTAGATATTGATGGATAGATGTCGCGACATGTAAATAATTTGGATAAATTTAAACTTTTCCAATTTTTTCTTATATTTATGTCCTTATTTAGATGCAAAAATTAAATAAACAATAAATACATTAAGTAAAATCGTAACAAATCCACTTGTTGATACGCAAGTATTTAAGTAAATATTTTTTTGAAACTTTATCCAAACATTCCAAACCAATCATTTTCATAGAAAAGGATAAATAGGTTCCAAACTATCATATCTTTGTCAGGTTGAAATTTTCATCCATGAAGCTCATTAATACAAGCAACAATCTGGAGTGATCGTAACTTATGATTATGTTATACAATGTTAAGTTGGTACAAAGAGAGTGCAGTATAATTTTAAAATCTTAACAATTTCTTGGATAAATAGGAATAATTGCCTTGCATAGAATGGCTTCACATGCGGAATAATATATTAATTATTTTGTGACAATGCTTACTCCAGTTATGAATGGATCAATGGTTCAGTTCCCGTTTAGTTTTGACGACTTCCAACGCCAACTACACTACCACTCGCAGTACGCAGACGCGAGGAGTTGTCAAATCCGTCAAGTCGCTGTCGGTTCTAGTCAGTTTGTTGGTTTCGTGGTGGTAGAAGGTGTCGTTGTGCCTTGTGCAGTGTTTTTGTGATATTTGTCTTAAGTGATAGCGGTGTCAACAGGTGCAATATGACGGGCAGATTAGCCGGACAGACTATAAACGACAGGCTGTTGGCCGCTAGGCACAGCCTGGCCGGTCAGGGATTAGCCAAATCGGTCTGCAAAGCCACCACGGAAGAGATGATTGGCCCGAAAAAGAAACATTTAGATTGTAAGTCCACCGCTCATTTGCTTTTACAGGCCGTTATTGACGTAACTGTACGAAACAGGTTCAAAAGTCTTCATTAAAACGATTAAAAATAGATTTTGAATACATCACGATTTTGGGTACCGTATCTACGTGGATGTGTCGATATCAGTATTTTTTATTGTTCTATTCATGGTAGAGATAACGTTAATTGACGGCAGTGTTTAGGACTGACAGTTAAATTTTTAAATTTTCACCACCTGTCACCTGTTGTGAGACGGAACGACCGTTTTTTGTTTTTCATATGAGCTTAGTTTGGGCATGTTTCTGTGCCTGGTACTAGTTCGGCCACTGTTATCTCTTCTTAGCTATTGCCCGGCATTTTGTATAAACGAAATACTTTTAAAACCAAAAACATCTGAACTTTTCACTTTGTGTGGCTTTAAAAGCTTTATTATTACGGCAGACTCGTACTTTCGTTTGTTTGCATTGTAATTCGCATTACAAACTTAATACAAACAGAGCGTGAGTCACTATTTTACATGAATTAAAATGCAAGAGTTCTGTTCCCTTATACAAGGCGTCTTAAATAAGTAATTTTTTAGTTTATTTTCTTGTATTTCGTAGGCATGTAGGCATGGGTCGCTAAGTTTAATGTTCGGTTTGAGTAGCACCTGTTGTACCTTTTTTTATAATAGAAAAAAACGCGTAGGAACACTGATTGTAAAGCAAACTGTTGACATTAGCACACGCGTAGGTTTTTGTGTGGGATTATCACGATAACGGTCCTATCAATTTATTATTTTGATGTAGATTCGTGTATTTACAATTTAAGTAATAATATTGAAAAAAGCTATTCAGAAATCACACACAAAACGTTATAGCAAAATTTTCTTTAAGTATACGTCTGAGATTTCCTGACAATCTTTAATAAATACAGATATAGAATCAAATCTAATACTAATGGATAGGATAGGGTCTTATGCATTTATAAATATTCATTAAATATTGACCAAGATAAAAACCTGATAGTTAAGCTCTTGTGAAACCGTTTATTGCTATGCATTATATTTTCTTGTAGTGCTGTTACTGTGGCCTAAATGTAGCACCTTTTCGACACGTTTGGGAGTACCTAAACGTAATTTTAAAGTTGACTGCTAATGTAGAACTTTAAAGACAAGCCGTTTTAACAATTTAACAAATTTTAAAAAATACTAGTTTGTTCTCAAAGGAATTATCTCTTTGACAAAGATATATTCACGTAGGTATTTTCAAAAAAGAAAATATATAATATGTAAGTTTATATTATTTAATTTTCTCAATATTTCGGGTAGGTACATATTTAGATAAAATAAGGTAATATTAATATTTTCAAAAAAGAAAATATATAATATGTAAGTTTATATTATTTAATTTTCTCAATATTTCTGGTAGGTACATATTTAGATAAAATAAGGTAATATTAAAAATTTATAATTAATAAATATAAGTATATCAAGGTTCTTGACACGAGACAAGCATTTTTGGGTCGAAAATCTTAATTTTTCTTTTGAAACAAATTAAAAAAACTACGAATTGCGATCATATATCTAAATTTTAATGTATCCGAGATATTGAGTGACTCATACGTTTATAATTTGTTAACCACCACCACCCTGTTCATTTAAAAAGTATTCGTACATTTACTGGCAAATTATAGTTAAAAATCGAAATAGTGTATTGTTCAGAATAGTCTGGAAATACCGAGGTAGATAGCAATCGTATCGGTTTATAGATATCAGCGTTCCTCAGTAAAATAAATGTTGCAAGTAAATATTTCGGTAATGTGCATTAATTTTCATCGACTTTGAGATATTTCGGTCACCGACATGGGCGCCGTTTGGGGAGGGGGGCGTAGTTGAAAGCAGACATAACAGTAGATGTAGAAAAAATATCTTTGTTGTGTAGTAACATCACAGCATATATATATGAGTGCAAATTAACTTTTATTTTCACAACTTATTTGTAAAAGTAAGTCGTTAGAATTAATAAATTTTTTGAGATCAAACATGTACACTTCGATAACACCAAGTCATTTTTCAATACGATTGTATGTTTTGTTATTTCCTAAAAGGAGGTTATGTATTCTGATATCTTAAATTTGACCCCTTGGGATTCCGGGTCAACGGCGCCCATGGCCGCCGCCTAAATTCTGATACACCAGAAATAATCTGCTACAAAACATTCCGAGATTTGTATTATTATGATTTTCCGGCCCTGACACGTTCAAGAATCGATTTTCGGTGTAGTTTCTTCGATACAGGATTTTTTCTTTCTTAGAAAAACATTCAAAGAAAAATGAAAGTAAATCACTGAGGTTCGATGTCATTTAGAACCTCAATGGGTTCTTCTACGGCAAATGCGTCGTGAAATTTTCACGTGGGCCTTTATTTAGACCTCTATTAATAGTAACATCCTTGTAAAAGCCCCTTCATCTCGTGCCCGATAAAACGGATGCCGCGGCTATTTTTACGGGTTCGTGTTTGTTTTCCTTTTTTCCTCTATAATCGACTACTGTTATAACAACATAAACGTATGCCCTTCATAAATCTCTGTCCAAATTTCATATTTCCCGGATTAGAATAATGAATTGAATACTGTGTACCGTGCTCGCACTTTTATCTTTTTCGACATCGCTGTTACGAGACTTGAAATCTTTCTCAAAGCGGCCTACATCCGCCCCCTGGTGGTGAGAGTTAACTTTCTAGGTTTTATCTGGGCCACAGCGATAAATTAACGTTTTCGAATAAAGCACCGATTAATTATTTGGCGTGCATATTTGGCAAGGTCAAACAAACGATTTTTGCAACACTTTTAGGGTTGTGTCACTTTCTCCTGCGTTATTTACTTTTACTTACACCGCTGCCGCGACCTGTGAGAAGTGAAAACGCAGGTCAATTACGTAGCAAGTCTAATTAACGAAGCAAATACAGGGTAGCCGACTTAATAGAGGTTTTTTAACAAGAAAGGGTTTAGATTAGACAAAACGTGCATTGGAAATGCCGGAATTGGTTTCTTTTGAAGGGTAGACCGATCCTTTGCAGTTTCCTTCTTAGATGGCGGTGTTCTATGCTGCTTCTCTGGATCTTCTGCAACTCCGTATAAACCTTTTCTTCCAAGTTAGACATATTTAATGCAAAATTTAAATCGGGGTCGACTGTCTCTTGCTTCTTGAGTAGCCCTTGTTGATATTTCAGTATTGAAACGGTTTTGGGCGGTTGGCCAACGTTCTCAATGCAACAATAAAATATGTAGACAGTGTAGACACCAAAAAACGTTGCAAGTGAACTGTTCCAGCTGATTTACTGCCGTAATCGGGCTGCCAACGCAACCGAGGAAGATCTCATGTAAATTTCTGACCTACTTTCAATCTTTAATACCCAAAAGCGTTGCATAAGCGAACGCATAATATAAATGCTCGGTGTTGCATAATGCAGCAGGTCTAAAACAACTGACAATCGAGTTGAACCAATTATTAGGCTGCATAGATACGTAATTATAATTCGATGTGTACGATAAACGTGGTAAGTGTAATGTAAAGCGAGCGAAGTAAATTAGATGATTTTGATGTACACATTAATTGATCCGAGCGTCTCGTCATATTTTTAGCGAGAAAACTGAGCGGGCGAGCGAATTATCTTGTTATTATGTAAATAATCCTCGCAAACGGGAACTAGATTGCCATGAAACGACAAGCGTCTGTCATGGCGGCCTTTGTTGACTTGTCTGCTCGGACAGGGAGAGAGGTCGAAACTCTTGCACCTTTAAAGTAAGCAGGCTATGAAATAATTGTACTTGCATTTATTTTATTAAAGCTGCGTAAACAAATCGTTTAAAAATTACCGGACCCGGTTTACATGCATAAACAGAAGTTAATTTAGCTGTTATCGGTCTGGCTTTATTACAATTTAATAATAATGACGACATAGCGTTGTGACGAAATAAAAAGTCTTATCTAAGTAAGAAGAAAACCACTGTGGAACTTTGTTAGACGGAAGGCGGTTTGAATATTTGTTTTTTGGGCGTGTATGATGATACTTTGAGTATCCGAAACCGTCGAGGTTTGTTATTAGAAAATTTGTAACCAGAAATGAAATTTTGTGTGAACACTAAACAATCGTGTCCGTTCCTCGACGAATTACGAAAGTATGTGACGCACCACGATTGTTTCTCTTATCACCCGACTGACGGCACATACAAAGCGACGAATTATGAAAAAATTGCGTCAGTACTGCAGTTTTATTATCAATAAATCCACGATTGAATTAAGTAGAAGTATTTATTTAATATACTTTATTCACAAAATTATATCTACGAGAATTTTAGTGCGCGTTTTTTTAATATCATAAAATTTTCCTATGTTTCACAACAGCTGTCGTATAGAATGTAATGAAAAACAAACAAAAACAAGAGTACCGATTCTTCTGGTGTCGTATTGTCCCGGGTACGTTTCGAATTTCATTCGACTTTCGAATCTGCCCCACGAAGCCCAGTCAAAGGTAGACGTTGATGCTGCAGAGCATCCAGCCGAACGCCCTGTGAAGCAGGAAACGCTGAGCGGAAATCGAAATTTTCAACTGTCTTTCGAATTCAACCGCAGAAGCCGCAAACCGCTAAAACCACTCCAAGTTGGGGCAGATAACGTCTAGATAACCTTACGCTGTTTTTAAAGCGATTGCGGGACGCGCAAAATTTTTCAACCCAGCTTCGAATTTTTCCGCAGAAACTACTCGTACTTCAAGCTGGAACACGACACCACGTTGTCCCGGTTCAATTTCAATAACAACCAGATTCCAAGACGGAAATGCCAGATGTTAAGATTCCAACCGAACAGTAGTTCTTGAGAATTCGCGGAGTCGCCCTGAAGTGTGATTGAACGTCGACTCTACTCGCGGCTTTGAAGGCTACGCTGAGGGTTTCACACGACAGGCACAAAAAACCTGAAAAACCAAATACAATTTTCCCGTGCTCGTTGCTTTCCAGCA